TCAAAACCATAAAATAAGCATTATAGTGAATCTTTGCATCACCTTTTGTCTCCTCTTGTTGAGGATTGAAGAAGGAGCTTGTAAATATGGATTCAAAACCACAAAATAGCCATTCTAGTGCATCTCTGCATCACCTTTCCTCTCCTCTTGTTGAGGATTGAAGGAGCTTTTAAATATGGATTACACACCACCTGGACGAATCCACCTACAACTGAAACTGATTTTATGGTAAACTTTGGGATCAGCCTAGTCCAAATTGACTTTACTAGAAAATTGTCTCTGGAAGTTGATAGTCAAGTACTTTACATATTTATTAGGCATTAATATTAGTGATAGCTTTTGTATGTATTTTTTTTAAATGTTTGCATGTTTTCATGATTACATCATACTTAGAATCTTATATATTCTTATAATTGGTCAAAGTCTAGATCTACCCAATCTGATTAAATTTAAGATTTGATTCCACAATATATATTCATTAGCAAATGGGAAGTGATTGGGAACTTGAAGAGTTGTGCAGATCTAGTCTACTATGATTCCGACTGGGAATTCATTTCAATTGGGTTGATTATAATCTAATCACTAATAGACATGCCAAAGCTGCTCCAATGGGTTGATGGTGGTCTTGGCTATTGCCATCTCTACCTGGGTCCATAATGTACCCCCTCAACTTGAGCTGGTTAGTTGTGGATGACTAAGGGTGGTGATTCTTGTCTCAAAACCTACTAATGTACATAGTTCATCCTGGTGATTAACCATTTACTGAATTCTACCTTTGTTTTTACTCATAATCTAGCTATACTTTGAAGATTTTAATACATATATCGGATCTGTGATTTATATATCATTGCATTAGTAGCCAAGTGACCGAAAAACCCAGCAATTCTTATAATAGTTGATGTGCTTTTCCAAAACAACAACAAAAACAAAATGAAGACTGAAATAGAAAATGACTCACTCACCTCTTAACTTGACTACTTCTAGACATTTTGTTGATTTGTGAACTTGAGAATAGAAGAACAAAAGTTATAAATCTAAAAGAGTATTCCATAAGCAAAAAAAAAAAAACAACTTTGATAAAGAAAATGTGAAGTCCCTTAAAAATTTCAAAACAAAAAATCCATGAATTATTCTAATAATTCATGTGCTTTAAAAAAAAAACAAAAAAAAAGTGATGATTAAAATAGCAAATGACTTTACCTTGGATGGTTCTGAACAGTTTGTTGATCTTTGAAGCTGAAAATAGAACAAAAGCCATAAAGTTAATAGACTACTCCATAAGCAAATCTATTCAAAGAAAAGATTTGAAAGAGAAAACTGAAGTTCCTTGTTCAACTATGTAGTAGATCAGTCATTCCCAAATTCTACTCTTCTTTTTCAAGAAAACAAATCCCAAATTAAATTTGATGATTGCATTGTCATATTAGATTGTGCTCTTGCACTTGTACTAGTAACGAAAAACACACCAGAGAAAAAGAAAAGGAAAAAATGTGAATTTAATTGACACTAGAACATTCAACAAAGAATGAGGAAGATAGCTACACAATTAAAGTACCAACATCCTCACCATTATTGTCCTTTGTGGCAAGGCTAAAGGCTTTATAGGAAACAAAGGGGGAGATGCAAAGGGTTTGGTGGATTTAGGTGACAGTAAACAATTTTAAGGCATATGGTTTCAAGGAATAAGCATCGAATGCATTCATCAAATGTAACCATTTTAGCTGCAGGCTATTGCATACTTCTTTCAGATACACTTGTATCTAAATCCATGTGTCTATCATCCTCATGTCATTGATGCCTAAGCTGATCAAATAACCTACCAAATTTTCACCACATAAAAAGTTGCACAAAAACCTAAATTTATACTGTGTAGTTTTCTTCCTCTTATTATCTGTTTGTTTGTTCGGGAGGGGGTCGGGGGGACATCAGGGGGTTGTGAGTTGTAGAACAGCTCTAATGTCATCCACCTCCAAGCTGACAACTATGCATGTAAATTAAAAGCCAGTGAATCCTCCAAATATGAACTCACAACATGTGTTTGTACATAAAATAAAAAGATATTAGTTGATATTTTGATTAATATCAAGTAGACGGATCATAAAAAAAGTAGTTGGCATGAATGTTAAACTAAACATGCTACAAAAATCATATAGCAACAGGTCATACAAGGAACGACCAACAAGGTGGATTGGGATCATGCTGAAATTTGAATGAACCAACAAGGAACATAGACTTGCTAATCTTAAATGTTGGTCTCCATGACACTTACTATGATGTGAAGATCCAGACAAGTTGGAAACCCTAGTTAGTAACTTCTAGGGGCTTGTAAAACAGAGTATCCATATATTCAACGCTGACAAATTATCAGGGAGCCACTCCCACTAGCCATCACTACAACCAGTCAACTGCCAAGTTTATATTTCAGCTACTTGCTATCAACAAAATCAAAATAAATGAAAATATAAAATATTAAGACAAATAATAAATGAAAGAAAGAGAACAAAAGTCTACAAAAATAACAAAAGAAAAATTAAATTAATTAATTAATTAATTATTATTAATCCAATGGGAAAATAGTCCCAATTGGCGGTTGGCTATCAATTTGCAGCAGTGAGGTCATGGAGAAAACAATCGAAAATGTATCCATATTAGGCAACACGTGGCCTTCCATCCAACATGTTGCCTTAATACTTGCAGATTAAATCAAATCAAGTTGAACATATAATTGTAAATAAATTAAAAATTGAACAAAATTACTGTTAACTTGATATCATCTAAAGATTTTGATGGTATCATTGTCCAACGATGAAGGTTGAAGACAGTAGTGTTCAACACCAGGGGATGCTCATAGCGCCCTACCTTGTTGATCTAGATTTGAGCCAACTGTTGATCTAGATTTGAAGATGAAGGTTGAAGACGACAACGTTCAACGCTAGGGGATTCTCATAACACCCTATTGAGCCAACTATTGATTTAGATTTGAAGATGAAGGTTGACGGTTGAAGATGGCAACATTCAATGCTATGGGATTCTCATAGCACCCTACCCTGTTGATCAACCAACAGTTTGAGAAGATAGCCAAGCCTAAAGCCATTAAGAAATCGAACATACTTGCGAATGAAATTAGGGTTTTGGTCGAAATTTCCCCTCTTTCCAGCACGTCTGCTTTGAAAATGTTGTAATAAGAGCCTTGGTTGAAGTTTCCCCTCTTTCTAGCATGTATGCTTAGCCTTGATCATCTCTACAATAAAATCAAGAAGAGAACAAAATGAAAAACAAAGGGAGAGAAAAAACATGGACTAAAAACATAACTAAGAAAAAACGTAGAGAGAGGGAGAGAGAGGGAAAATCAAAACCGAAGAGAAAGCGAGAGAGGAAAGGGGAGAAAGGGAAAGAGGGGGACACAAAGAGAAAGGTAGAGAGGGAGGGAGGGAAAAATAAAAAACGAATAGAGAGGGAGAGAGGGAGAGAGAGAGAGAGAGAGGAAAGGGGAGAAAGAGAAAGAGGGTGTGCGGCATCACATACCATTATTAGCATATGTGCGGATATCATTGCACATGCGGTATTAGATACCGTTATCTCAAACGAGAAGGTGCCACGAATCAACCAATTCCATTAATAGATATATATTGGATACACCATTACGGTTGTTTAAGATGCCTTACTTGTATTTTGGGAAAACTTTTTTAAGTGCTTATTAGCAAAAGTGTTTACTAAAAGCATCCAAAGAAAGCTGATTTAGGTGTTTGGTAAAAATGACTCAATAAGCACGTTTTAAAGAAGCCAAAAATTATGGATTTTTTATAAGCACTTTTGTGTTTTTTTGGTCATCTTGACCCACCACCTAATTACCAAAATGCCTATACCACCCCCATTTGAAAGAAACAATTTTCTCACAAAATATTCATATGCTACTTATCTAAAAAATGAGTCATTTATAATAACACTCTCTATAGTTTCACATATTATTTAAACCTATCTTATAGTTTTTATTTTATTAAAACACTTTCTATAGTTTGCAGCCTATTTACTTAATTGACCTTTCACTAAAAAGTATTTATTTTACCATCTGAAAATAGTAATATGATCACCTAAACTGAGTGAAAAATGTTTAAAGACATGGGCCCATTATAGTTTATTCCAAAAGCATCCCTAACACCTCTTGGTACAGGAAACAAAATTGACTAAATAGATCCAAATTGAGTGGTTGCTTGTGTCTTATTACTTTATTAGGGACAAAAATGGTATTTTCCATTATAATCTAATGAAAGGTAGGCAAACTATAAAGAATGTTTTAGAATGTAAACTTTAATGTATGTTTTAGTAAATCCAAAAAAGCTATAGGGGTGTTTTAATAAATGACCCTTAAAAAAGCCCGTTTAAAAACAATAAACACTCAAGCATCGCCACTAAAGGTTTGCACTGGCCTCTAAGGGTGAGCAAAAAAACTGAAAAACCAAATCGATTAAAAAAATTGACCGAAACCGAACCGAAAAATCGGTTAACTGAACTAGTTGGTTTGGTGTTTTAAAAAAACTGCAGGTATTGATTCGGTTTTGGTTAACCAATATAGAAAACCAGTGATTAACCGAACCGATTGATATACATATATTTCTATATATTTTAAATATATTTATGTATATTATATATATTATATATTTTTATATATTATAAATTAATAAATATGCATTATATATAAATATATATTTTATAATATATTATAAAAATTAAAAAACTGAAAAACCACAAACCAAACCGACATTTAACCGAACCGTGAGTACGTGGCCTCCACCGTTCAAATCTTTGCACAAATGTAATATCATGGTGGGGTCCATTGAAAGGTGCGCCCTGAATTTCGATTCTGTGTTTGTGGTACCGGTTGCCAGTTATGGGCCTGGAGGCCCTAGACCACAGTCTTATGTCTCTGGATCCAAGCCTTCTAACATTTATGTGTCGCAACCAGATTCCTTAGTGCCTACCGAAAAACAGAAAAAAACTTAGGTTGGTTCCCATTTGTTTGGTCAAATTTGGAGGCATAGGCAACGTTTATGGTCCGTATTGCAACAAGAAATATGAGGCCCTCCGTATTTTCATGTCATGTGCGTCCATTACTCCACTTGAGCCATGAGCCCACGGGCTGGACCCCAACACGGTGACCGAACCGATTTCGCTTTCTTGCAGAGCGGAGCTCTCTCACATTCCATACAAGGACAACTCAGATACCCACAATTAATGGTGGCCTTGACTCCTCGGGGGACCCTCGGAATCTCTGTTGAGCAATCAATCTGTGGTTAGGTCCAACGACTCTTACGTGGTGTACACCAAATGGGCCAGCGTCGATAAGGCAGCACTCCCTGGATTTCGTTTGACGTATACAGGGCCTTAGCGCCAAATACCCACAGCCAACCAATGGAGTCTCTAATAATCTTCTCTGCAACTCTGCAAATGGGTATGGGTGTTGTTTGAGATGACTCTGCTTATCGAGAGATGTGGTTATCTCCTCATTGAATGGTAAATAACTGGCATATATTCCTCCAAGAAAGATGTGTTTTGTTTATCATGTTTCTGTGGCGTTTTTTTTTTTTTTTGATACAAAGTTGGTTCTGCGAGCATGTGAATTTAGTTGGACCCATCTGATTCTTTGTATTGATTTCTTCCTCTTTCTTCGGTTATATATTGCTGTTGAGCTGTGGAGTATGGAATACTAGTTTCAATGAATAGCGGTTACTTTACATGTTTCATCATAATCTTTTACTAGTTTCAACTCAAATCTGTGATTACCCATCTCGCGATCCATTCCGAGCTCAAGGTTTTTGTTTAAATGTTTGAATGTTGATAAGAAACGTGTACAAAAAGTAGTCCTAAAATAGCACTAGGTTTTTCGCATTATGCAACTCCCGGTTGATGCTTGCTTTGACAAATGAAGTAGCATCAACACACTCCATGGCATGATGGCAAACACGAGCATTTTACATCATGATTCCAAAATGTAGCTCATCTCTAAACCTCATATAGAATTGCGATAAGTGCAGATGCAGTACATGATTGATGGGATCCATGTGTTATTGAAGATTATCAGGTTTCGTACTGTAATAATGACGTAGTCATTTATTGTCCATAGCTGTCGATAGGTTGTGGGCCTAGGGGTGTCAATCGGACTGGATTTGGTCCAATTCGATCCGGTCCAACATGAGTCCATTACAAATGGACCAGGTCCAATCCAATCCAGTGAATATACTGTGGACCATTTTGGACCAGTCCAATTCAATGTCTGACCGTTCAATCTGTTCAAATTGGTTTTAATTTAGATTGGTTCCAACCTAAACTTGGTCCATTAACACCTGTATTCTTATCTTCTATCAATGGACCGGATATTGGTTCAATCCATTCCAATCCAATATAATCAATTACGGATGGACCAGGTCCAATCCAATCCAATAAATACTTTGGACTGGATTGGTCCAATTTAATATGTCCTATTGGTCTGTCCAATCCGTCTAAATCAAAATCAATTTGGACGGGTCCAACCCAAAACCGGTCCATTGACACCCCTAGTTGTGGTTTCATTACTAAATTGACAACTAGGATTCCTAAGTAATTGGCAAATTGGTATAAACAGAGTTTCGCCATGCCAGACAGATTTTGTACCCCAGAAACCATCATCTTTACCATTGGGTATCTATGCCAAATGAATGATTTGACTAAAGGTGAATATTTCAGTTGCCAGAAATATTTAAATGCTCTATTTACAGTTTTGGCATCATCTCACTAGATTGATTTTAGATGTCGTTATTGTTTTATTAAACCACAATTCCGTGCTCTCTGTTTATATATTAACCAAGCATCATCATCATCATCATCATCACCTAAGCCTTATCCTAACTTTATGGGGTCAGCTACACAAATCCTGTTTTTTCATTCTGTTCTGTTTAGTGCCATATCCATCCATTGTTAAAGTATGAGCACTTAATCATTTGTTATATATTAACTAAGCATAGTGATATCAATATCTTACTAACTTCCTGATAAGAACTGTAAATGGTGACTCTATGGCAGAAAAAAAAATTCTATGTAGCACTGAAATGGAATTACATATGTATGTAATTTTGTAATTTTCTAACTGGTTTATTTAAATGTGGGGTGATAATGATACCTGAGTTTTGAGGGCTATGGTTGATATAAAGATATCAGACTTGAAAATCTATACATTTGTGATGTGAGGAGGATATAATAATGCACACTGAGTTGAAACAAAAGTGTTTCTGAAATAAATTAACTTTTCAAGTTGGAGGCACTGCAGTTTGTCGTCATTTTGCAGATGGCACAAATACTGAGGCACAAAGCACCATGGAATACATGTGGCTAAAATGCAATTGTGCTTAACACATTTTTCTTTTATTTGTTTGATTTTCTTGTTTAAATTCACCATATCCTAACCAAAAATGGGACAGAAGTGTAAGTATCCACATGAAGGATACATAATAAGTTAACCAGTAACAGAATACCAAAAACAGCTGCATGCTTTTCTCTTCTCTTCTTTTTCATTTTTCCCTGATGTTCTGTTTCTTAACATTATACCACTATTCACATAGACTTCAATCACCAGTATGTGTTTACCGAAAAAAAAATCACTGGTATGTGTTTATATTCGGCAGATTTTATTTCTAATTTATTTATTTTGCAGCTATAAATAAGATAGATAATAACTCCTAATACCAATTTCGTTGTAATGTTTCAGACACATATGGCTGTAACTCCAATATGTTCAAATGTTTTTTACAAGGATAACGCCCTTCCTACTTTAAAATCAATAAGGGAGGAGAGAAGTATCACAGGTGAATGCTTTGCTGTTCAAGAGGCATGTAGGTGCTTTTTATCATTTTCTGGTGATACAGGAAGGAGATGGCATGAAAGATATAATATCACCAATTTCTGTATGAAAGCAAAGAAAATGCAAGGAGATAATGCATTTCACATGGTTCATAGAAGGAAGCTCATGCTATCTCAGAGAATCATTAAATTATCTAGTCTACATAATGTCTATGGCATAGAAACTGAGAAAGTATCTACTTCAAAAGATGCTTCACAAAGAGATATGTCATGTAAGGTTGCACATGAATCAGAACCAAGTACTAATGGGAGGCACTTGAAAGCATTGGAATCTTATTTTAGTAAGCTTCAAAACGAAGCTAAGTACCAAAATACTTCTCTGTCTTCAAGTGATTTTGAAACTACAAACAGTACTGAAGAACATAAATTGGAACTTTCTTCAAAATTTCCTGACAAAGTGACAAAATCACATGGTGAGAGTGACCAGTTAAAAGCAAAGAAAGAGTTGGGCTCTCTAGAAAATTATCTCAGCAGACTTAATAAGACAGGTAAATACTACAACTGAAACTTTCCTGATATTTATCAAGGATCATGGTTCTAGAAACTGAATCTACATGTGTATGTTCAACTATACAGAATATTTATACTGGAGTTTGATGACATTATGCAGCTGATTGTCCTTAATTTCTGTACCGATAGCTCGATGAGTGGATTTTCTTGACATTGGTTATGCAAATTTTTCAATAAACTCATCATATCAGCATGTGGGTGGTAGTCAGAACAAATGTATTGTATATTGGTTGAGAAAGCATATACAACTCAACAATTTAAAATTGTAGTACAGTAGTTCTTTAGTTTCTCAAATAAGCCATATAAACCACTTACCACTAATACAATTAGCATTCCATGTTAGTGTGCCACTGTGCATTTCTGAGGAAGTTTCTATGTTTCTCATCACTCTTGTGAAATACATTTATTGATATAAATTGATATATAATGATGGAAGTTGTTTTCATTACTCCCCAGCTTCATGTCTGTGTGATGTTTAATCTATGCCAGCAGAAGGTTTTTTACATGCAAGCCATGGACACCTTAATGTCAGAGATCTATATTATTCTGTTTTTGCAAATAACAGAGGAATTATATTTTCTTTTAATGATTTGTAGTGGGAGACTTAATGAGCTAGAAGAAGAGGCAATCTATTTTTGTACAATTTTGATGCTAAGTACATGCACTAACTTAATTCCACATCTTAGTGCTAAAGCAGTCCAAGTTCTAGTATTGCATGTGAAATATTTCTGATCAAGATTTATTGGATGGACATGGAATTTATTATTTCTATGAATCTCACCCTAGACTTCTATAAAAGGTTTAAGCAGATTGACGTCCAATGTCAATTTAACCAAAGAGGTCATAGCCAAGCTTTTATTTCCTACTTTGAACTTTAGAGAAGTATCTAAGCTCATGGATTTGTCGTAATAATTTCACAAGCAGCATATCCTACATTTATATGCCAGTTTGAAGGGGGGGGGGGATTGTAGAATTTGGCTGTCTCATTCTCATATGAACAAGACTATTCAAATTCATTTGTGTTGGCTTTCTGTTTTCCCTAGCCATAATTAAGCAAACTTCTTGTCATAATTAATGGTAACTTGTAAGTTTTATGTTCTGTGAAGAAGTAACAATGTGCACAGGGATGCAGGAAAAAACTTCTTTTTATTGTTTATTCTTGGAACTCTTTTCCTTTTTCTCCTTCATTGCCTGTAGAGATAGTTACTTTCTTCTTTCCTGAAATTAGTTAAAAAAGTATTATAGTGTTATGATTTATATATGATATAATAACAAAGTACTGGATTTCTGATGTTTTCTTGTTCATTACAGCAGTAGAGCCACAGAATATTTCATCTGGTCTTGATGATGAACCTGCTGAAAGTAATCCGATAAGATCAACATATTACTTTAATAGAAAGAATGAATTAAATGAAGACAGAAAGTTGCAAAATCTAACGCAGTTAGTAACCAATGATGCCAAGAGTAGTTCAAAGGATTCTCAAGGCCTACAATCATATGATGAAACATCTGATCTTTATTTAATGTAAGTTGCTCTTCAATTTTCTTTATGATGCTTTACTTTTCATGCCTGCGTTGTTAATCTGCATTCTTCTATTATAGTTTTATTGGATTGTGTTTTAATTTAGAAATCTTTGTTGCTCTTAGTGTAATGTTTTCCTCAGTGGCTAATATTTCTTTTGTTTTCCTTTTCTTCCCTTTCTTTTTTCTTGGATCAGATGCATGCTGGCTTCTATAAACATAGCAGTGTTTATTTTTGAGCTAGCAAGTCCAATTAAGACTTCTGATCTAGAGCTCTTCTCTCTTCCTTTATTATATGGAGCCAAGATAAATGAATTGATTCTGGTTGGAGAGTGGTGGAGGCTAGTTACACCAATGTTTCTGGTACATCATTGAAGATTGGGTTCGTGTTTCTATTTCTGTTAATGTTTTCACAATTTCCTCATTACAATAAAATCTTTTAGGAAATTACACTTGTCATGCAGGTCTTATAATATTTGATTCATTGGATTTTATTCTCCTTATCAACATTTTTTTTATCAATAACAACAAGATTTATGTTAAAGATTAAAAGGATAGATACAAGAGGTACAATATACACACAGGCATTGAGAGACAAACAGACTCATCTCTCCCCAAAAACCTATAAGTTTTACAACTGTGCCCAGAACAAATTCTCCCTCTCCACCCCTTGCTTGGCTAAACCATCTGCCATAGAGTTAGCAGACCGCTTAACCCATTGGACCTTTACTTCCATATCTTTTGTTATCCATTCGAATTTCTTTTTTAGAGAGCTAAAAATCCGCATCCTCTAATCATTGCGCCGCAACCAACTCACCACCAGTTTGCAATCTCCTTCAATAACTAATTTTCTGATGTTTAACAGACTTTCTCTTTGTATTCCTTCCATCACAGCCAGAACCTCTGCTCTAAGGGAATCTCCTTCCCCAACTGGCCCTGAATAAAGTGCCATAACATTACCTCTCTCATCTCTGAACGCACCTCCTATGCTTGAAGGTCTTGGATTACCCACACAACTTCCATCAAAATTGAGTTTCATGAATCCCCTGTCCGGTGGGCACCATATTGGATTAGCTTCTGATCTACTAGGTGGTGATTCAGCCACTACCTTCCAGCTCCTGAGAAGATCATCCATAGACACATTAAAGAATTTATCCATGGATTTTAACCAATGTGCCGTTCTGTTCTGATCAAGACAGTTTCAATTATAGCCTCCTTGGAGCTTTCCTTGTCCTTAAACAAACTTGCGTTCCTTTCTTCCCATACAGTCCAAACAATATCTGCCCTTATACGTTTCCATATAATCTTACCCCTTTTGTTTGGCCATTCAAAGAATGATGAGGCAAATAGGTTTTGGACGTTATTCAGAGGAGTCCACCTGCACCAAAATAAAGAGAGAAACCATTCCCAAATACAAGTAGTACAAGAACAAGAAATTAGCAAATAGCAAGTGATAACAGTTGTCACCATTGGCACAAAAAAACATCTATGGGGGGGATAAACACCACTGTGGTCTCTTCTTTTGAAGTAAATCACAGGTATTAATCTTTCCATGAACAACTTTCCAACAAAAAACACTAACCTTAGGTGGAATAGGCTTATACCAAACCTCCGTAACTGGGAAATGTTGCGAAGAAGTCATATCAGAATGAGACTGGGCTTGAAAAAATGAAGCACAAGTAAAGGAACCGGAGGGGGAACAAGTCCAAATTCAGCCATTAGGTTTGGAAGGATCAAAGAAAACATTTTTTGAACAGAAAAAAAGTAATCTGGAGATGAACTTGTCATGCTGTTTCTGTCTAGCTTGAATGGTTTCCTAAGGAATTTCGAACTTTTGGTAGTTCTAGCTTTTTTTTTGAAGATAAGTAAAAAAGAAAGGTTATTGCTAAAAGAAAAAACAGTACATCATAACTAGGTGACAAGATGTCACCCCCTCCGGATTACAGTAATGTAAGGTCACAAAAAACAAACAAGAACACCATTTCAGAAACAAGACAGATCTCAACATTCCTATAAGAATTCAGAGAAGTCCAAAAGTCAGCTCCAAAGTCTTTTTTCCGCAGTCCTTGAAACTCTGGAAGCAAGAGCATCCAACCAATTACTGTCGAACTAATAACAGCTACCAGCTCTTCCATGCTTTTATCTTTCTCCTCAAAGATCTTTCTATTTCTTTCCTTCCATATTTCCAGAAAACAGCAAAGGGAATACATGTCCAAAGGATCTTGACTTTAACTCCACCTTGGATTCTTGGTCAACAGCTTAAAATTTCAGCCGGATCAGCAAAAGGGCTCCTGACCACCTTGAATAACTTGAAGAAATAGGACCAAACTGGGCATGTAAAGCTGCAATGAAGCAAAATATGAGACACATCTTCCTCACCAGCACAACACAGCACACATGTACTTGGAAACTGCAGACCTCTAAGTTTCAAGTTATCCTGTGTTAGAATGCAACCTCTCACAATCAACCAAGCAAATGCTTCAGCCCTTGGTGGTACAAGCTTCCCCCAAACACCCCTAACTGGATCAGCCTCTACCTGATTTCTTATCAGTGCCGAGTACAATGACTTGACAATAAACTTCCCATCCTTACACTCTTTCCATAATCTGACATCTGTTACTGAGGGGTTGATCTCCAAGGCCTGAAGTTTTGTCAGCAACTCCAAGCACTCCTCCACCTCCCAATCAAAAAGGGGTCTTCTAAGATTTGGCCTCCAAATCACAGCACCATTTACTACTTCGTAGCAGTCTGAAATTGGCACTCCTTTCTTACTCAGATTATATAATCTTGGGCATAGTTCAGAAAATTTCCCCACTCGACCAGTCATCTTCCCAAAATCTTATGCTTGACCCACTACCCACTTTCCATGCATAGAAAGGGATCATCAAGGAGTTAAAACTCATGATACCTTTCCATACACAAACTCCATACGCATGTCTCACCTCCTTTGAATCCCACCCAACCCAAAGTTCATCACCCCATACTTACAAGCCACAACTCCTCCAAAGGGCCTCCCTTTATCTTCCGAGCCTCCAAACCCACTTCCCCAATAAAGCTTTGTCAAAGACTCCAACCCTTTGCACCCCTAAACCCCCATCTTTTTTGGATCTGCACACCAGCTCCCACTTAACCAAGTGTAACTTCCTTCTCTCAGCCCTAGCATTCCACAGAAATTCTCTCTCTAACCTTTCAATCTCTCCCACCACAGCAGCAGGAGCTTTAAGTGAAGATAAATAGTAAACCGGAAAATTTGAGAGAACATTTTTTATCAATGTTAATTTTTCTGCAAAGGGTATATATTTTCCCTTCCACCCCACCAGCCTTTGGTCAATTCTGTCCAAAACAGGTTGCCATGTAGAAATGGAAGCAGCTCTAGCTCCAATTGGAAGTTCAAGATAGGAAAAAGGAAACTCCCCAATCAAACACCCCATGGCCTTAGCACACTCTTCAAGCACACTGCTGGATGTCACCTACCCCTATCATTATGCTCTTAGATTAATCTTAAGACCTGAAAGCAACTGGAAGCTGTTAAGAATACTACTTAGAGAAAAGGCTTGCTCAACTGATGCCCCAAGAAAATTAAGGTATCATCAGCATATTGCAAATGAGATATAATCAGCCCTTCCCTCCCAAACCTGAACCCTGAAGGCCCCAATTTCTTCCCTTTGTCAATCAGCTTGCTCAACACTTCCACCACCAACACAAACAGAAAAGGGGAAAGAAGAACCCCTTGCCTTAGACCCCTAGTTCTAACTTCTAAACCATGCAATAGTTTTCTATAGGAAATTTTACAGATAATCAAAGTGGAGGACAGTAGTTAGAGAGAAAGGAAGGGAACAGAAAAGGATAAGCCTTTTATGGTCAAAACTGTATAAAGTTCTATTTGGAATTCCTTCTTGGATTGAAGACCTCTGTTTGGACAATTTCTGGTGTATTCTTTTCCTGATAGAAAATTCTACTGGGATAAAGGATTCATAAGATACACATATCATGAAAACTGAAAAGCATTTCTTGAAAGGTTGGTTACTAGAGAAAGAAAAGATGCAAGATTAATTTAAAGGAATTATTTGCTGTGATGGTGCACTTATGCTTCATTTGAAAGGTACTACATCACTATATAACCTTTACAAGGAAGATCTTTTCTTTAATTGCCTTCATTTTTTCTCTTTGAAAAAACTCTACTTCATTATGGGTTTCTATGAATGATGGGCACCTAATGCTCTGGCTTGGTATTTGTAATTGCAATTTTGCTGATTAATTCTTCCCTTCTTTTTCATACAAGATATTTAATAGATTCAGTAATGACCCGTTTGAGTCTATGAATCTTATATTTTTCTTTTCTGTGCAATGTGTGACAATACTGCTACACGAAACATATTTTACATTGCACCAGAAAAATAAAATACATTTTACAAGTCAATATAGAACCTTCACATGGGTATTTGATACAAGTTGGTGCAATCTTAACTTTCCTGCATTTGACTGACCATATGGTAAAAATGTCTTATATTCAATTTTGAGTTTTGTCAGTATACTCGAAGTAGTGATCCAAGCATTTTATTCAATTTTAATGGATATTTTAGATCATAGTCCAACATTATTTGTATATTTTGATTTTGGTCTTTGGGTGCTAGTTCCATTTTTGACAATGTACCATCATTGAACAAGGAGCCGATATGTGCTATCCTTTCTTTCTCCAACTTATCAGTTACCATGTGGATCATAACATTATGTTAAGTTTCTGAAGGAATGCACAATATGTCAATTAGTCATGTCCTCTCATGTAGAGATCTCAAATCCTATCTGATTGATGTATTCTTTTAATACCCACTACAGCACTACTTATACTGTAATGTAGATTGAACAATCACAAACATTTTATAATGTAGATTGGTGCTCTCCCTCTAATGATTTGGTTTCTGTGCAGCACACTGGATTTCTTCATGTTTTTCTTGGTGTCTGGGTTCTTCTTACATTTGGGCCTCAAGTCTGTAAAGGATATGGTTCGTTTACATTTTTGTTGATATATATACTTGGAGGGGTTTCTGGAAATTTGATAAGTTTCATTCACACACCAGAGCCAACTGTAGGTGGGACAGTAAGCAGCAATGCACCCAGCTTCTTTTTTTCTTTGTGTTTTCCTATCTCGCTTTATGTTGCAGGAAAATTGCATGATATCTTATTCAAAGGCAATTCATCGTTAAAATTGTTAGTAAGTTCTGGAAGTTGGTAGATGTGAAATCTACTCCCATGGACATTATTTGATCTGTTATGCTAGTCTTCCTTTACATCATATGTCTTACCATCATAACTGGTATTTTTGTTGGAGATAATTCAATGTTATGAATGTTGTATGAAGAACTTTTAGAGCTATAGTTTAATACTGATGTAGCATTTAGAACACCTCAGTTCTCACCATTTCAGTGCCCATGCTATTTGTTGTCTCTTATCGGCTTTAGCCTTGATGCCAGCCATGTACTCGTGTTTATGTAATTGTACATGTTTCTTGCATCTATAGGATAATCATACAGCAGTCCTTGTTGGCTCTTGTAGTTTTACATCATGTTATTATCTTTTGACTCCTTGAATATACTTTCATGCTCAGGGTCCCGTCTTTGCCATAATTGGATCTTGGCTGATCTATCAAATCCAAAACAAAGATATACTTGCAAAGGAGGTGTTAGAAGGCTTGTTTAGGAAGGCAGTAATTGCAACTGGTCTTGGATTTGTGTTGAGCAATTTTGGACCAATTGATGAATGGTTAGTTTTCTGTTTGGGACATCCTAGTCACACCAATTTGAGAAAAAAGTTCAGTTTCCTAATTTGAGTTCTTAAATGAACAAGATACAATTGTTGTGATTTAGTGCAATAGGTGTTACTTCTGAAACTTCGACACTCTCTTTGCAGGATGCATTTTGGGGCAGCTTGTATAGGCATTGTTTATGGCTTTTTCACATGTCCAACTCTGGAACTGGATAATGAATCTTCGAAGATGAGTCAAGAAAAGGGAATTGCAGTTGTTAGACAATATGTGAACCCTTGTAAATCACTAATCACATTTGCCCTCTTCATTGTGGTTTTGTGCTCTTTGGTTTTTCTTCTTGAACCTCCACTTAATACATTGGAAATTGAAAGCCTTGAGTAAAGAGAGGTATATGAGTATGCTAATATCTTCAATTTCATGTAAGATGTGTGAAAGCCTTGTAGATATAGAATAATGTCCTTGCTTTTTTGTATGTTGCCTGTTTCACATGCTACTTTGAGAAAGAACCTGAAAATCATTACTTTCAAGTGAGTTTCTCTTTTTTACTTTTTTTAATGGATAAGGCTATATTTTTTTGTTGTTGAGATCAGTGCGTTCATCTGATAATATGAATTCGTTGGTCCCAGAAAACTACAAAGGCCCGAAGGGTGCAACTTGTACTGGTATATAACAAAAGCTGACTGAAGCAATCCAACTTAAGTCAGATTAGAATATATTATTTTAAGCTGAAGTTAAATTTCCAACACTATATGCCAATACAGTAAGGATGGGAAATGTCCCCTTCTGCTTGTGGTTAAATGGGAGATTGAGATTATTGGTCTTGAGGCTTTCTAAATTCCTGTCAAATAAAAACATATATAGTTGATTGATCTACTGCCAGATAAATTGATAACGACTCAGTATCGTGATTATTTCAAGGAAATATGGGCTTGCAGGTATGAACTCCGTAGATTTTACCACTGAGGCTCAGTTTGGAAGGAGTAAAAATGCAAATATGTAGAGCGAAAAACATTGTATCTTGTATTATTTTATATGTAATTGTATTGTACATATTTGTATTTGTACTCTTCCCAAACTGAGCTTAAAGTGTTTGTACTGAACGATATGAACCAAAAAATTTGGTTAGGAGATAGATGGTGTTACAACTCACTAGAAGGCAAAACCTGGTTACTTGCACAAAACAATAACCTGGAAGGAAGCACGATGAACAAGGTGTTTTTGTAATTCCAGAGGGACCCAGAAGCTGCATGAACCTGATGATCAGCATGCAATCTTCTGAACCATTTAACAGAAATATGGTTGAGAAAGAGGTGCGCATTACCGAACATTCAACATTGTGGCAAGAGACCCATGGCTGCACAGCCCACACCAAAATGTGGAAATGATGCGCATGATAGTGGAGGGACCCCATTCTCATATCATTTCATTCATATCACATTCTTCAATTCTAATTTATACATCTACCAAGCAATGATGGCTAATGACTACCTTACCGGTGGGTGCACAAGGGTTATTGCATATTGCTTGTATGCAATGCCATGCCAAGCACAATAGAGGATTTTATGGAAATAGTAACTCCTGATCGTGGGATTTCTACCAGGCCCTGCACAGGTTTGGTCGGGTCACAGGTCATTGCTCAATTTCAGAAGCCTTGTGTAGGCTTGTACAGTCATCGAAGTCATAAAGAGTATATCAGGCACCAGTTACGGTTATGACAGAACTGAACTAAGGCTATGTTTGGGAGTGCTTATGTTAAAAATAAATGTTTTAAAACAAGTGCTTATTCAAGAGTGGAAATATTTGAAGAAGCGTAAAAATATTGATATGCTTTGCTTTCTCTAAATTAAGTGAAAGAGATACCACCTTGTGGTCATTCATTCTCTGGAATCTTGAAAACAAGTTCTCTCTCCCAACTCTGACTACAATAAGGTATTGCTTTCACTATTTTCATTCCTTGAAGGGATGGCAACTTGCCATCACTGCAGACTTTCTGATGCCATACTATTTCATTCTCATGCTCAAGTTTCCTAAGCATCTCACTCATTGCATCCATCTCCTCTCTGAAAACCAAACACCATGCCTCTTCCCCTGGCATTTTTTCCTGAGAGATCGCCAAAGCATGGTGAAGAACTCCAATTGCAACCCCAACTTGATCTACACTTAAGTCTTCTGCGAGGTGCTTCTGGCTTTTCAACTCATGTAGGGCTCTGCAAGCTGGTATGTAGTCCTGCACAAAATTTACCATTACTTGGTTATCTATCAACTCTAAAATGTAGCACTGTAGGAAGATACCACAGAGAGAGAGAGAGAGAGAGAGATTCAGTACCTATGATTGCTTTCATTTGATGAACCCCTTAAATTTAACTAATTTAATACCCAATCAATCATAAGCACACGCCAAATGTACAAGTACAACATGTAAAAGGATCCCCCAATGTATAATAATTATGAAGTCAAGAGGAAAGCATTACCAAATCCATTTGGATAAATAATTCAAGCAATTAAGCATTGGTTTTACTAAAAAACCAATAGAATGAAGTTGCATTTTTATCCCAAGAAACAGAAATCCAGCTTAAGGATAACAGAATATGATATTGATAACGAATATTTGGAGATTTACAAATGCCATCTAAGTTAGAATGTTACTTGGTCAAATCTGACATTTGTCAAATGACTCAAATCACGGTCATTTATTTTCTCTGTTGCCCTTATAAAACCCAATTATTTGAGCACCGATTAACCAAATTTCGTTTGAATAGAGAGGTCTTCTAGGAAACTCTCTTCCCCATTTTTGTATTTTCTTTCTCCCTTATGTTTTCATTGTTAATCCAAAACAAAAGTTGTATGAAGACAAAAAATGCCTAATAAGAAGGAATTATTAAGTAATATCTAAATGAGGAATAACAGTCCTAGTGTACTGATTATTGAAAAGCCAAATTACAGGGGGACTAAGGAAGATATACCATTAATAATACAAGGAGAAGGGAAAATCAGGGTGTAAATATGCTAACGACAAAACTTCAGTAAAAGGAAGAAAAAAATACAACTATGAAATATTTTACCAAAGGAAAATTTGTCATTATCACTATATTGCTTCTTCCAACTACAAAAAGTTGATTTTTTTTCTTGTAATATTAATGAATTATGAATGTAAGAAGCGCTCAATGAATTCCAAGAATAAATAGTAATACATTCTTCAAGGAAAATAAATTGGGAAATCATGAAGAAGTATCACTATAAGCTACATAATCTACAAAGAAAATAAATATCAACAGAATAACAGTAGAGTAACTGAGAGGTACACTGCAGATGAAACAAACATGTATTCACTATTCACTGAGGAAAAAAATCAATTGAAGGTAATACATACCAGAAACCTCATTGAAATATCATTGCAGTCCCCCATGGTAGAATATAGAATGTCAGTGGCCTCATCAAGTGACTGTGTAATGCCACAGTGCAACTTTGCTAAAAGACTTTTAGTAGTTCCCTTTTCTTCTGCCTTTCTTATAGTTACAGCCTAAGCATAATTATAATAAAAATCGCAGTTCAAATCTATTAGAACAAACATTAATCCTCTCATAATACTAAATCCAGAAATAAACATGAAAGGAAAAAAAATCGAACTGCTAAACAAAACATATTAGTTGACAACTGGATTGTGAAATGTGGAATTAGCAACATCACGGTGAAAAATCCTGAAGAGCTAAGACAGTAATAGAAAATATCACTAACCTGAGCCTCAGCCAAGCAAATCAGACTCATAATAGTGGACATAGATGGTGTAGCTTCTGGTATCCTATCCTTAGCCAAGTCAGGCTGCAGAGATGGAAGTATCTCATTAGCCAAATGGTCATAAACCCCTGCTGCTTTTCTGTAAAGAGTGGCAGATTGTACTAGATCTGCATTGCATTCATGGTAGCACAAATCACGATAATCATCCAAATACAAATTCAAATAAACCAATAAAAAAATAACAATAGCAATGGCAGTTGTAGTTGTAGAGTGTAAAATGCAGGAAGAAATCCACTTCACTACCTTCTTTTAGAACTTCTGAAGCCCTTTCCCGAAGAAGTGCACCATAAAGGAAAAGAGTCATGCTAAGCTCAAAGTGCAGGTTATCAATGCGAAAAAATTTTGGACCCATAAAACTGAAGACAGGAGAAGCACAAAGAGCACTACTCCATCTTATCATAAGGTCTGAAGTCCACCGAACCATCTGCTGATTGTTGCTAACTGATTCCACATGAGCCACAAAATTTTCCAATAGTGGCAAATATCTTTCTAGCTTTTGCAGATCCTATGATATTTTAGCAAACATAAGTACAACTTGCTAGTTGCTACATATGAACTAGGTGCTTAGTTTTAGACCAAAACCAATAATACCTGCTCATTGTGAGAAGTCAACCCTCCGGCCATTTCTCTTGCAATAGCCCTTGTAATAAAGTTATTCTCATTAATGGACTCCTCAACTGCTCTACGCCTGGAACTTAGCTCCTTCAGCTGCTCTAATGTACCAGAATCACGTGCAATGAAAACATCTTCAAACACAACCTGCCAAGTCAATCTCATATAAATGGTGTATCTAGTAATGCTTAAGATCACCTTCCTGACAACATCACCCAAAAAATCTAAATAAGGAATGCATGTCACAAAATAGACAATCCTATTTTTCCCACTTAAACAAACTAAATCAGGTATAGTTAATAACATGCCTGTTCTTATATTTCAAACTCATAATCTATGTAATAATTTAACAAATCTAGGCAAAGAAACTTGTTTATGGTTTACCTAACATATTATGAAAGGTCTTTTTGAAATGGATTCAAGGGTATGACTATGCAATTCAATAGACATCTTAATTAAATCTTCTTCAGGAAGCTCACTAATCACTATGCCTAAGTTGTTTCCTAGCAAAGATTTGGGTTACCAAGACACTGATGTCAAGGCAATAAAAAAAGGCCATTACCTAATGTTTATCCTAGCTATCTAGGGTCTTGGAAGGGGTAGACTAGATATGGACCTAACCTTTGGCATTTTTTTAAACAAAGAGGGTTCTCTCAGACTTGAACCTGCATTGTCACATTAATTGTCAAAGAAATGATTTTTCATATGAAAAGCCCAAATAAGTTTTGCTTGTTTCCCTATTTTTTATGAATTAGTTTATATTCTTACTTAGTTTAGCAAGTAAAAAATAATATCAAAGATGACATAAAATTCCTTGTTTTGTTAATACGAAGAAAGAAAATAAGAGACACAAAATGTGTGTAATAAATCAAGGAATAGGAAAAATAAATAAATTAAGGGAAGAACCTTATTTATGTTGAATGTGAAAGAGACATGGAGGAGAAACAATGTGTGGTGTGTTAATTTGCAGAGAAAAAGGGGGGGAAATGAAAGGATAGAACCCTTGTTCTGGTTATAGTTAGAATAACAAAGAGGGGTGATTAAAGAGGATTAAAATGACAAACAAGCAAAGGGACAATGCCCCCCTAATCAGCCATATAGAGAGACATGATGCTAATTTTGCTCAAGGAAATTGAGAGATAAGTAGAATAAATCTCTTGTGAAGAATATGTGATGAAGGCTAGTAAGTACAGAGACTTCACTGTTAAAAGCTCTATTGTTCCTCTCTATCCCTACCAAGACCCTTATCATCCAGAGACTTTCTCACCTCTGCCACTAATAACCTTATCATCCAGCCATCCAACAACTCAAACATAGACTGAGGACACACCTAACATATGTTGAGAATACTCAAAAGAAAATCTAGAAAGTTGAGATCCTCAATGCTAACTGTAAGCCAATGGATATGGTTTGTAAGCTCTGAAAGTTGAGATCCAGATGGTGGAATCGGTGATAGAGTGAGTGAGGAGGAGGAAAGGGTATAGGGGTTGAGAGTGTTAGGTTTCTTGGAAAAAGGATCCCTTTAGTAGGAAACCAAGTCTTCTATTTATAGGGGTGAATCGTCCATGCAGACGTACACCACCTGAGAATATTCCAGATTGGTCTGTATTAGTTGGGGCGGCAGATCCCAGGTTGCTTCGGTGGAGAGACACATGTAGAGTGAGGGACCAGGTATCAGCGCCTGTCACAAGCCAACTGCTATAATTCCCCCTCCTTGTGGGAGAAGTCATGAATGCAGGCTCAAGGTCTCTGCTATTCCAGAAAAGCTAGAACCAATGTGTCTTGTTGACAAGTGGGAGTTCTGTCTCAACAAAACTGAGCTTAGAAATTCCTAATAGCACATTCCTATTTCCATGACTAGCCTCACTGCACTAGTCCAGAATCCTGGACTCGTGAGTTTCGATATCCGTAAACTCAAGGTTTGTGATGCCCGACCAGGGCATTGCAGTGATATGTATATCCATTATCTTGCACCTCTTCTGTGCAAGTTGTCTCTCATAAGGCATTTCCCCAGCACACTCATCCAGCAAAGGCCACTTTTGATGGAACACCATGCACCCATTAATTTGTAGGGAAAGTCTGGGTTGGAACCACCAGCCAGAGCCCTCACACAAGATTTGATTGACAGAGAACACCCCTGATTCTTCCCTACCTAAGCTAGGGTAGTGTTCCTGAATCTTTGCAAATAAATCTGCTACCTGTCTACTAACCATAATTTTATAACAATACCTGCTTTGACTAAGGAAATGCTTATCAACTGGAACCTCTTCTAGGATGGGGTTCTAATGTCATTAAGGAAACCCATGAGACCTTTTAGTCAGTTTGGACAATCCCCTAGTCCATGGAGCTTTAAGTTTTGATGGGTGACCCCTCCTTCAAGTTCAAGCCATGATCTTTTTTGGGCTTGGTTGATCTTGAAATGCAAAACTATACTACTTGGATGGTTCTAATTAAGGGGAATATAAGTGGATGCATTTACTAGAAAAGAAAGAAGAAAAAAAAAAGAAAATGGTTGGGATCTGGTTTAAGAATAATCTGTGTATTTGGATTTTGGATTCATCTCCAAATGTTGAATGTACTGATACTATGCAACTTGGTTAAACCTAGTGGGAAAAAGAATAAGAAAAAATGGCATCTGCTCCAGGATATATGGGCAATTTGTTTCTCTAGCCAGGGTAATATTAGAATTGGTTTAAGTGATGACTATTGAGTTCCCTCAAAGCCAAACAAATTTGGCTCTTTATTCTTTCTCTCTTTACGAATTTAACAATTCTAACATGGTATCAGAGGAACAAGAACAAGTAGTGAACAACAAAGAAAAGGATCCTCAAAATTATATTTTTGTATTGGTTATTTGCAGAAGAATGGATGATTTATTTTTTATACTTATTACAAATCATGCATCTGGAAAAAAAATGTCCTTTTTCACCTAAGTAAAATGGAGCTTACCATATATTGACCAAATTTCCTAAACCTACTAATTATAAGGAGACAGACGAGGGTATTTCTCTCTAATTCTACTGAAACAAAATTTGCATAGGGGATGCAAACTAGGAAGTGTGACCTCCACAATTTGAATGCCACTTCAACTTTCATTATGTGTATGGAGTTCTATGTAACAGAAATTCCAACGAGTAATACAAATTGCAATTGTTACATCTACCATCACCAGGAAGCTCATAACTGATTTTCTTTTTAGAAAGGTAAAATAAAGCTCAGTTTTTGCCTTCCATAATTAAACTGAATGGAATTGAACACCCAAACCGAAAAAACCCAATAAATCCAGCATCAAAACAAATTATCAATAAAAGTTCAAGCTCGACCCAGTAACCAATTAAATTATAATCCAGTGAAAGATGCTTACCTTCTTAGTTTTCAATTTCGCCGGGTCCCCAAACTGCAACATCGTCGTTCCAAATAAAAATTCTATAAAACTCTAGCTAGTTACACCCCAAAGCTAAAATGAACACAACAGACAAGGAAACAAAAGAACAAGCAAACGATTCTTCAAGGCTAAGAGATGTCTTCGAACTGTTCCGACTTCTCTCTCCTCTTCCGTTCGTTTTCATACTCCGCAGTCTTTCCTTCATTTTTTCATGTATTTAGAGAACCACAGTTGACCGCAACTTAATCACAAACTACCCAAATAGAAGTAAAATAAATTAAAAAAGAAAAGAATCCCATTCCAGTGAGATGTAAAAATTCTGAGATAAAACCCATATACTTGTTTATTTTGGAACAATGAATTTATTATTAAGTAAAAATAATAATAAATACCAATAACGATAAAAGCCGAGCTCATGGAAAGGGAACCTTGTAGCTAGTTTCGACGCGATGCATAACGAAGAAACCAAGGATGCCTCCAAGAATGGTGCCTGTGATAATCCTGATATTTGCTCCTTTCCGGGAACCCACCATTGTCGCTTTCATCGCTTCACCTCCTTCCTTTTCCTTGTCTCTTCAGCCTTGCTCTCTTTGTCCAAATCCGACACACTACTTTCGCTATCATGGTTACCGTAATGCAGCAGAGTTGAATTGGTATACCACATACCTACCAAAGAAAGAAGGTATGCGACAGAGTGAGACGAACCAGGGGAGCGGCATGGCCTTGAGGCTGAACCTGGCTTTAATGGTCTCACACTGGTGGTAGATCTGTAGATGTTAACGGTTAAGGGTTGGAGGCGGGGCCAGTGGTTTGTTATATCTGGCTGACTTTTTCAATGCCGCATAGCTTCGCTGATCAAAATAAAATATCCATTGCAAGAAAACACTGTTGCAGTCGTCAACGCCAAACTACCTCCATGGCTCCATCCATGGTCAAAGACTTGGCCTTTTCAGCCATCAAATGGGTAAAACTCTGTTACAAAAAACAACTCAGCTTGTACAAAATACTTGAACAGGAGCAAGGGCAGAACAAGGCGTTCCCAATTAGAAAAAGAAAAAAATAGAGATTGAAACCAACGAATCAGACTCCGCAAAGATTATCTTTCATCCGTTGGCTGCAGCAGAAAGAATTGCCTTCAGAACGGCCGACATTTCAACTTCCACAGCTGACCTTACCTCCTACAGCAGCCAAATAAGATCATGGGGCCTGTTTAGGAGGGCTGAAGCTTTGATTGGTCTACTTTCACTCATTCACTGAGCTGCTTTCTCTAAGCCGTTTTGAAGAAATGGATGCTGTCTTTGGCGGAATTGACAGGCTTATTAAGGACTATTGCAGTCACATGTGGGTGAAGGAATACTGATTAGATCTTATGGCCGTGTTTGATAATAGATTGCATGGGAAAGGAGAGTTTGCACTCACAGACATACAGAATCGGATGCTCTAGTTTGAATCATTCGAAGATGACTTGTATTACTACGACCTCTATAGCAAAAATTTCACAAAACTTGAAACTGGGGAGTTGATAAAACCTCGAACCTCAGATGGGAGAGTTCTACTGTTTACTATTGTAATTAGATTTTGCTTTTCTGCATCCAAGGCAAGAACAATGAACAAACAGAGGGCCATTACCCAGTGTTGGTTCCGCCCGGCATTCTCATTACACTGACTCTGAAACAACTGGAGTCTATGAATCAAAACTCTGCAGAACTTGATAGATATTGCTTTTCAAGTCTTTATCTTATATATATTTGAGTTGAAGCCTTGTAAAGCCCATTTATGCAAAGTTACAAAACAATTGAACTTGATAGAAATCTAAATTTTCGATGACCCATCAAGCTATATATCACTAGCTTGGAGATTATCAAATATTAAGTGCACTAATCTATTTCTATTTAATAATGGCGCAAGGTGGGGGTGGGGGTGTTGGGGATGGACTGCATTGTCCTGCACACATCATGTAGGGAGCCAAGCATCCTTGGATGCAGGCCGTCGCCTCTTCACCTTTTGCTGCACATCCAAGCGAACAAGCTGAGAACGTTTGTAGGCAAGCCGCGATGCATCCAATCTGATCGCTCTTGACATGGTGCACAACTGAGCATGTCAGCAAGAGCAACAGAGCAGTACAGACAAGTGAATTTGAACGTGAAGGAACGAAGCCTGACATACACATATAATCGGTTGTTGTCGCCATCTATAGTTTGAGCAGTGTTGGTTTTCTGAGAATCTGAGTGAAAGGGGCTGGCGTTTATATAGAAAGTTGAGTGGCCAAAAGACTCTCTGCTACGTCTGTGACAGCTCTTCGTGCATCCCGGAAGTATGTGTGTAACAGTTTTTCATTGTTGACATGAGACGAAACGCATGACCATGGTTATTGGGCTGGGCTGCGTTGGGCTTTTGCCTATCCTGCCGGTATATCCCGGTCCGTTTGCAGATTCTAATTTAGATAGTGGGCTTGTTGGACGCTTATGTCATTGGAGGCTCATGTAGCTGTTGCCAAAATATGACTCTTAATCTATATTGGACACAACAAAAAGCTTATATCAAGACTGTTCTTAATGTTGGGTTATTTGAAAATTCAAATAAAAGTTTTTAGTTTCTCTCCCACTCCTTCTGTCTTTCGATCTCCCTCCCACTCTCTAACACTCATAGTTGTCTCTCTATGTTCAACGATTGTACGATTTGAAAATAAACAAAAATGATTTCCGGTTTCTATATTTACACCCTCTTTGTCAATCTCTCTCTCTCTCTGTATGTGTGTGTGTGTGTCAATCTATTGTTCTCCCTCAATCTCTTTCATTTTATTTCTTGGTCAATCAGTCATCCCTCATTCTCTCTCTTGGTCAATCTTTCCTTCTTCCTCAATCTCTATCATTCTCTCTCAGTCTCTCTCCTTTTCCTTCTCCCTCTCTCATTCTTTTTTTTATTTGTTTACACACTTATACGATATTAATCAGATTGTATAACAAAACATAAGACCAACCACTTGTACAATCAAATTATAAACTTCTATCGAGTTGGGGTAAATTTCATAGCCAAGAGTTTCTTGTGAATTTTTATCAAATTGGGTTGAAGAAGATAGAACCATGCCAAGTTGGTCTTATGTTCTTTAACACAATCTGGTTAATATTGTATAAGTGTGTAAGAAAAATAAAAATGAATGAGAGAGGGAGTAGGAGAGAAACAGATAGAGATTGAGGGAGAAGGAGAGATCGACTAAGAGAGAGAATACCAGAGAGAATGAAGGAGAAGGAGAGATTAACCAAGAAACATAATGAGAGAGATTGAGGGAGAATGATAGATTGATAGAGAGGGAGAGAATGAGAGAGATTGATAGAGAGAATTTAAAACTTTTTTTTTTTTTCAAATCACAAAATCGTTGAGCAAAGAGAGATGATTATGAGAATGAGAGAGTGGGAGGGAGATCGAAAGACAGAGGGAGTGGGAGAAAAACTGAAAACCCTTTTTTTATTTTTCAAATAACCCAACATTAAGGGCAATTTCAGTATAAGCTTTTTGTTGTGTCTAACATGGATTAAGAGTCTCATAATGGCAACAACCACATATGCATCTAGTGATATGGCGAGGGTTTTTATAATTTGAAATATACAATCGGTTGTTAGAGTTTTGTTGGTTTCTAAACCAACCTAAAACACCATTTTAAATGTTGAGCTGACTCAAGCTATAATTTAGAGAGAGAGAGAGAGAGAGAAAGATGATTGAAAGGATAAATCATTTTGTAGGGATGGGAACTCAAATCATCAACAACCAAACAATTTTAGGTAAAAAAAGGACCAACTTCCGAATCCTTATATTAAAAAAGTCTAAGAGAATAGAAATTTTTTTCTCTGTTTTGGAATTGAAGGATCAACTGGTTATCGGGGATGATCATGGGCCAGGCTAGGCATCCAGGCTTGTTCACATAAATTAATAAAACTACTTTTTAAAAAACTTAAAATGGATAAAACTTTGCCTGAAAGCAAGCAATGCAATGATATATCTTCTTTGTTTAATTTAGACATGGATGATATGCAAAATATTACAGAGATTAGGAAAAAAACTAGGGATTATAGCTGATAAGGGCAACTTTTGGGTCTTATTATCAATAAAAATAATCTTTTTAACATAATTTCTAGAATAGGGTATCTTTTTTAAAAAATATCAAAAAAGAGTAGAAACACTATTCATCTCCTTCCTCCTTCAGACCACCGAACAAATCTCCTCTCCCCACCTCCTGTCTCTATCTTTCTCTTTCCTCCTCCTCCTCCTTTTTCTCTTCTTCTTCTTCTTCTTCTTCTTCTTCTTCTTCTTCTTCTTCTTCTCTGCAACTGATGCCAAGAGAAACACCAAAGACTCCCATGTCCCTGTAAGTATATATACCTTGCTTCTCTTCTTTCTTCCCTACCTCTAGTCTCTGGTGTTTCTCTTGGCGTTAGTTGTAGAGAAGATGGTGTAGACAAGAACAAAGGTCCTGACTATCTCAACACCAAGGGGAAGAAGAAGAACGAAGGTGCAGAGAAGAAGAAGAAGAAGAAGAAGAAGAAGAAGGAGGAGGAGGAGGAGGAGGAGGAGGAGGAGGAGGAGAGAGAGAGAGAGAGAGAGAGAGACCGGAGGTGGGGAGATTTGTTCGGTGGTCTGAAGGAGGAAGAAGATGAACAATGTTTCTACCCCTTTTTTATATTTTTTAAAAAAGTTACCATATTCTAAAAATTATGTTAAAAAGATTATTTTTATTGATAATAAGACCCAAAAGTTGCCCTTATTGGTTATAATCCCAAAAAACTATTATAACATGAAATATAACCATATCTAAATGATAAATTACAGATCATAGAAAACATAAACACCTATATTTTTTTTGACATATGTAAAAAGAAAAGGAAGACTCATCTCTAAGAAACATAGGATTTAAGCTTGGCCTTAGATTAGAGTAGGTAGTCTTCTTCCTGATAATGCAATTTGATATTACAAAGGGGTGAAACCCTCAAAAAGCTATAAAATTTTGTTGCATATCGAACCATATCATATATATCGTATCAATGGCCCACTAGTACAGAAAATATACATTGGGGGGGGGGGGGTTGACCCACATTAGGGGTAGGTAGGGGTTTGGATTTGGTCCAATCTGATCTAGTTCAATGCAAGTCCATTATAAATGGACCAGGTCCAATCTAATCCAATGAATGTTTTGGACTAATTTGGACCGGTCAAATTCAATGTCTAGACTATCCAATCTATTCAAATTCATTTTGATTTAGATTGGTTTGAATCCAAACCCAGCCCATTGACATATATATTCTTATCTTATATCAATGGACCAGATATTGGATTAATCTAACCCAATCCAATATAAAATTGTTTCGGACGGACCAGGTCCAATCCAATCTAATAGATATTTTGGACCGGATTGATCCAATCCAATATGTCTTATTGGTCCATCCAATCCATCCAAATTGATTTTGGACTGGACGGGGTCTAATCCAAAACCGGTCCATTGACACCATGGTTTTTAAAAATGAACCAGAAATAGAACCGATCAGGGGACTGGTTTCTAGTTAAGCGATTCAACCATCTGGATCGAACAGTTCGACCCGTGACATCATAAATATATTAAAAATAAAAAAAATATATTTATAAATAATAAAAAATAGCATAAAATTAAATAAAAAAGAAAAAAAAGAAAAAAAAATGGGGTTTTGGGTTGAAGAACGATAGGTTTGATTTGAGAGGCTGATTTGTTTGTAGTATCCCCATAATGAAATCAATGAATAGGGACAACAGTTTCAGATGATCTACCTGAAATCGATGAATGATTATGGTTCCTAGTTATCTTCACAGGTCAAATGAAGAGCACGCATTAGGGATGATGATGAACAGGGTTTTGTGGGTGCTTGGGAGGTTAAGATGAGAGGGAAATTAAAGAGACAGATAGAATGTGGAGGATTAATCCAGAGAAACTAAAAGGGAGAGAAGGAAATGAGAGAGAGTGGCCAGGTAAGGAGGATGTTGGGTAGATCACTGCTATTAAGAATTGTAGCGACGATCGAGAAAACTTGTCAAATAGCCACTGCAAATTCGCCGCCCGCCGCTGCAAACTTGCTTGCGCAACTCTTACTACTGGAGCCTACAAGTGCTGGCCGGTGCAACTCTTACTACTGTAAACTCGCCGTCGCCGGTTGCCATTAACCACCGTCGGTCGGTGTATATCGCCGTCGGATGCCAGAGGTGTTGGCCGCTGCAGGTGGTCGGTTGGGTGTGAGGGTTGAGAGGAGGGAAGGGTTAGAACGGAAAATGGGGTTCTAACCCTAAAGGGACTAAACATTAGATTATGGGTTGGGGATATTGAAGGCATTTTATTTTTTGTTTTTTTATTTAAACCAGTGAAAATAAAAAGGGTAACCCGTGAACTGCTGCCTGGGTCCAATGGTTTAGTGGTCCAACTGCCCGAGTCAGCGGTTTTTTGACTTTTTCAATGTTTTTTAGAAATCTCCGATTTTTAGTATAACCGGACCCAGGGGCTGACCAGTTACTAGTTTTTCTAGTTCGACCATCCGGTTCGGTCTGGTTTTGAAAACCATGATTGGCACACTTAGGGGTAGGCAGGCCTAAGACCTATTTGAATCCTGTTTGTCAATATGTTATGTTTAAAACAATTCCTTTGAAATCTTGAGTTATCAATAAAAGAAAAAAAAACAATTTCTTAATAAGAGTCATGGTGTTTTGATCTCATAATTCAAACATCAGAAAATTAAGGTACTACTGTTAAGTTTGACGCCACTTTTCTTTCTAGTAAGATTTAGCAAAGTGTTAGGATTGATGAAAAACATCTTTAGTCCAAGCAAAACTGTTGTCTTTGTAGGTCTTGTGCAGCTAATAAACGGGTGTTTGGTATTTGGTACTAGGGGTGTTTTAAGTCTCAATATTTCAATTTAAATCATGACATCAGGAATCAAGAAATGAGATGTATGTTTTGGCACAAAATATACTGCACAGTAGTTTATCAACAAAATGCCTACCATGTCCACTATTCTTTAATTAAAGACATAGTTTTAAGGGCAAAAGAGTAAGTAAAACAGACACACATATTTATGAAGAAGGGAATGCTAAACGAATTGGATTGTTATTGGATTGGATTGGGTAATATTCAAACTTGAAGTGAATGATAAATAGATATATAACTTAAGAGTCGAACTTGATTTGTTTATCTTTAAAAGATATCCCAACTCATCATATAATTGAATTGATTTTTTTTTTGTCATATAATTGGATTGAATTGAGGGTCCATTTGATTTGTTTATCTTTTGTCCTCACTACTAGGAAGTTCAAACACAAATTTGAGATGATTAAAAAACTTTTCCTACTTATAAGGGAAAAGGGTAAATTACTAATACTTTTACAGAGGTTTTGGTCAAATACTATGATCCTGTTCATTTTTCGGTAAGTTACTTACCCAGGTAAATGCAGTTACTTGGGCATAAGTTTTTCCTAGGAAACACTTACTCGGGTAAGTGCATTCACCCATATTCTTTTATTTCTCATGTAAATAAGGCAATGTCAATTTTAGCCATAAAAATCCATTATTAAAAATGGAATTTTTGTCCCATTCAAGTGTTAGCAACTTTCCCCCTAGGTGGGAAAGTTATTTACCCACCTAGTAGATGGGTATCACCCAGGAAAATAAACTTTCCCTGGTCCTCACATAAATCTGAAAAAAGAACATGGGATTCTTGGTCAATGGGAACCAAAATCCCATTGACTAACTCCCCCCCTCAAAATCCGAAAAAAGAACGCCCACCAGGAGGTATATTGGTATTGGTGAACTTTTATTTCCTCTTAACTCTGAATGCAGAGAATGTTGTTCTGAAATTTGAATTCTGAAAATTATCAAATATCTATTTTGACCTCATATATGAGAGTTTTTATTTACCGTTTTGGGGATATCATTGGAAAACAAAAACTTGTATGATTGCACTTTAAGAGATAAGAGATAAGAAGAAACGAACAACAATTTTTCTCTTAAAGTTAAAAGATTCATCTTAAAAGAAAACAAACATGCCCTTATTCGTTCCTTTTTTTTGGGTACATAATGAAAGAAAAGCAAAACAGGAAAAAGAAAGCTTTGACATAATCACATTCAAAGATAGCATGCATGATAGATTCATTTTTCTTTTGTCAAATTGGACATTCAGCAGAGACCCCAATACCCCTTTTCCATAAATTCTCTCTCACTGCAATAGCCCCCCAGCAACATCTCCAAATAAAATCTTTAATCTTGGGGTCTATTTTACTTTTCCAATTTCTTTCCAATGCTGCTTAGGGTGGAAATAGTATCCCAACCCCTCCACTTGTAACATCATGGACATAAATGCTCTTATGATGAAGGGATGCATTTTTTTAAGATTCACAGCATAAGGCATATTGTATCATATCTTTGGGTCTCCAAAATGCTAAATGCTACGACTTTTTAACTTTGGTTTGTTTTCTATTAAATTATATGATATGACAATAAGTCTGAAAGATACCTAACAAAAGAAAAACTTTTTTCATATGCAAATTTTGTATATCAAAGAGTATTGATACTTTGAACCCTATTTGTTTCTGTCACAAGGTTAAGGCGGGATAAAAATCCAAACACAAGTTAATGAAGTAAAATAAATTAGGGTAATAATTTAAGTTTGTAAAATATATAATTTCAAAAAATTAGTTTTTAGAGGCAAAATTAGTATTTTAATAATTGATAGAATTTGTAAATTAGTTATTTCTATCTCAATTCCCTCTCTTCTTAAGAAACCTCATAGGTTTTTAGTCAAAGAAAAATTGGAATACGATCAAATATCATGGAAGAGAAATAACAGTGTACATACTTAGTAAAGTCTGCTTACAGGTCTTTTGTGAGCTCTTATCCATCATCATCATCATCTTACAGGAATCTAAAAAGCTTAAGGACAAGTGTGCCAAATGGTTGTCACTTGTCGACTCAATATCAACTCTGTACCTTGTGTATGCTTTTCCATATTTTCTTCACATGTAGTGATGTCTGTTCACTAAGGTGGAATATATGGTGTAAAGCCCAAATTGGCAGTCCCGATCTATTCATCACAGCATGTATCAACCGTACATGGGGAATATGTTCTGTACTTGTATATTATTATTCATGGGAGATATTTTCAATACACGGTGGGATATGACTGTGAGGTCAGTGTGAAGAGCGCTTTCTAAGGAATAGATCCCCATAGTTCATTGACTCAACATCTTCGTCAAGTAAATACTTAAAATCACTCTGTGGCTCCAACCTAGCTAACAGAAAGTTTCTTGTTTATTTGAGAGATGTTGTGTGTTATTACATCTAATATGGGAGGCCCGAAACAAAACATTATTGTTTTGAAAATCTGCAACTCATCCCTTCAGATGTCATTCAGAAAACATCCTAATGCCAGTTCACTCTGATTCACAGAAGTTAATCTTTTGAATGCTAATACTAAGCCAAGCTTATGGATTAAGCAACTACACTGGGAGTATATTAGAAAACTACTTCTCTCTTTTAAGTTTCTTTTGAGTGCACGTAAACAGACATCTATACCAATTTCTTCACTTGGTTGCATATTTTGCTCGTAAGCATCAAGTAACTATAATGTATAACTAACTCCCTTACCATCATGTATGGTTCTTGCACAAAGAATGAATAGAGCTAGCAACTGGTTGGCGCCCCAGTTGGTAGGATTTGTATTTCGTTGTAGTGAAGTAGGTCAGGTTAAATGGTAAGCCCAACTTGACTGGGTTAGGGTTTGGATTCTCTGATCCAAGTTGGGTTCCGGTTCAGGTTTAGGTTTAGCTGATTCGTACACATGGGCCATATCAGGATGGAGACTACCTTGGCGGGAGTGATGTCCCTGCCCTACCTCGACCCCGATTTTACATATATATATATATATATAATATTTTTAAATATATTTAAAATATTATTTAATTCTAAAAATTTTGTTTATTTTAAGTAATTTTTTCCAAAAAAAGTTAATAAAAAAATTGTAGATTTGGGTACTTGACAAGGAACTTTGTCCCCATTAGGGATTGGGATGAAGGCTAATGGGTTGGGGATGCAGACTAAGGGTCAGGAACAGGGAGTCCTACCCCGAACCCGATTTATTGCCATTCTTACCCTACTTGTATACAAGGTATTCTTGTAAATTTCTATGACTTCTATCTATATAGCCTTAGGCTCCATTTGGGAAGAGTGCAAATGCAAATATGCAGAGTTCAATCTAATCCATACAAAATGTAAAGTTGGCATAGTTTGCATTGATAAATCTTTTCTTGCCAAATGATTTTTAATTGTAATGGGTGTAAATACAAATCCCAATATTGAAATATACTTTTTTAACATTTAATCAACTTTGAGCACGAATGTACATCCCTTTTTTTGTTGTAAAATTTCCTCTCATCTTGGGTGTAAACATGCCTTGGAAGTTGTGTGTGTATGTGTGTTTTTTTTCATTGTTAATGCATAAATGCATTATTGCCAAACATTAGCAAAATTGAACCAAAGTGTATATATACACTAAACCAGCATTTGCATTCTTCCCTGATGGAGCCTTGGGCCATATTTGGTTCTAATGCAAATGTAAATATGTATTCTGCACAAATACATTCTTTTGGGTTTAAGAATGCACAAAGTGGGTTCACATTGTAACCCATTATTGTATTCTTCCTGTTTGTTTTAAAATTGATGCAGAGCGTAGGCCCCATCAATAAATGCTTCAACTACGGATGCTCCAATGCCTAAACTTTTGGTCAAACGTACCAATTACCAAAAGAGCAGTCTGTATCCAAAAAATGGGTATAATAATACTCTCTCATTAGGATAGAAAACACATTTTTGACTTCTCAATGATTGCATTTTGGTATGTCAAACAAACATTCATAAATCTGAATCAGGGTATATAAATATCCCGATTTGGCGTTTGTATCGCAAACAAATGCAACTTTAGGGTTTCTTTTAATGTTTAGTTTTGTTTTCCTTAAAAGTTATACCTTATAACTCATAAACTAAATTTTACTTAAATTGATGACTTTTAGATTTTCAAAATGTGATAAAAAATACAATTGAAAGACAATCAGGTCGGGTTAGGATTGGACCAAACAATGAGCCGTTCTAGGTCCGGGTCAAGCAGTCTGACTGTCTGATCCGAACGGCCAACCTGCTCTAACAAAAAAAGTAAAAAATTAGAAAATTAAAAAACATAAAATGGCTAAAAACCATTATCCGGATTGATGGTCCAAATGGTCTAACCGCTCAGGTGAGGGGTTTACTGACCAAATAAATGGTTTTTGGCCAAATTATGATTTTAGGGTGAAACGTGACCGGTTATCGATTTTTCCGGTTCTACCGTCCGGTTTTGAAAACCTTGGTTAAGGGTATTGGGGATGAGTATTGTTTTTGTTAACTCAAGAAGACCGGAGAGATTATTCGACGAAACCCCATATAGGTTTTGAGAATAAATTTTTTCGGCACAAAAGTTGACCGTGTCCGATGGTGCACCGAATACGACCTGATACCATGAGCTAAGCAGTTATAGCAAATGGTAAATAAAACAGGTGCAACCGTCAATAGCATACAGTGCTAGCATCCGATACGATACCGAAAAGCTGACCTACAGAACTGTTCCGAGACCGAGAGAAACTCCGAGAGACGTCATAAGTCATAACCGCCGCCCACAACGAGCGATAACGGTCACTATCCAAGCCAGCGTAGCATCATTCCACCATTTAAAAATCCTTCCATTGATGATCACTTCATCTCAACAAGTAAACCGAGAACTGGGGAACGAGAGAACTTGAAAGGAAAGCCCACGGGTCTCTTCTGTTTTTTTTCCCCACCTTCAGCTGGAGAAAGAAGAAGAGAGGAAAAACCCTTATTGGGACTCCGCTGGGTCCTCCTTAAAGCAGATCAAACCCGGACATGGCCGAAAAACAGTTGATCGTGGCCATCGAAGGGACTGCGGCCATGGGTCCCTTTTGGAACACCGTTGTCTCCGATTATCTCGAAAAGATTATCAGGTTCTTTCATTTTTCCCTTGAAAAATTTGTTTTTTTTTTCATCTCTTTATTTCGTAATTTGTTATTTTTGTTATCTTCTCTGATTTGGAGGATGAGGTAAATTTACTCTATTTGCACGACTGTTTGTTTTGGAGTTGTGTTCGATGCATGTAACTTGAAATTGGTGGAATTAAGATAGAAAGTTTTTAAATTGGTGAGCTGGGTTTTGACTAGTTGGGGTTGTGAGTTTCAGAGCCTTCTTCTGCATCTTGGGTTGCATTAGGGGTGTGTATTTCGGAGAAGTACACCCTCGTACCTGGCGGGACAATTTTGGTTCAATCCACCTTCAGTAGTTTATTGGCTCACTACATTTGCTTTTCATTCAGTCCCTTGTGGAAGTGATTATGAAAATTGAGTGGATTCTGGGGGGCACTTCTTATAGGAATTCTGGGTTATTACAAGGAGTCACCCAATCAACTAAAAAATTGTTTGAGACACAAAAAAGGAGGGTGGTTTTGTTCAGGAGATTGAAGTAGAAGAATCTTGCTTTAGTTGGTTAACGGTGGTGGAGAATTCCGAGAAAACCATATCATGGTAATTACGGTAATCCTTTGATTGTGTTAGATTTTTCCTAAATTCTCCCTCTGGGAAAAGCTTCGATTTGAGCAGAAATAAACATGTAAAAAATATTTTCAAATAACAACCCCGCATGACCATTTTAAAATGGCTTTATTTCATGAGGGGGTAGATATTCTATTTCTGTTAAGTGTAATTAGAAGGTTACGTTTAACAGATATTTTTTTGGTGAATAATAATGGAATTTTATTAGAATAGAAAATGATTCAGGATTACAATCTCATATGAGATCCCATGGAGAGGCGTGAGCTGCAGCATCTCCTGACATAATGCAAATAAATTAGGAAAAGAGTACTGGAATCACATCTGAGCCCAAAACAATTCTTCCCTATTTGCCCCTTGCTTGGCTAACACATCGGCCAAAGCATTTGCTGATCTCCCCACCCACTGAATAGAAACCGGCGTATTCCTTGTTAGCCATTTAATCTTCTTAACTTTGTTCTTATAGCACCAAACAGTCTTCTCAGGTTTTCTTAACCAGCCCACCACCACCTTTGAGCCCCCCTCAATAATTAGTTGCTGTACCCCCATTTGGTTTGCAAACTGCACCCCTTGTACAGAAACTAGCATTTCTTCCCTAACAGAGTCAGTCACCAAGTCCTGAAGGACCCAAGTACAATAGAGCAACCTCCCCAAGCTTGTTCCTCAGAACCCCCCTCCATTCCAGATGACCCTAGATTGCCCAAACTACTACTGTTGAAGTTCAGCTTCAGTGAGCCTTCAACCTGAGGACACCACGTTGGCACTACCTTGTTCTTGATGGAAGAGCACCTCACTATTGCCAACCAATTTCTCCAAAAGTCATTAAGGGAGAACTGATGGAACAGGTCCAAAGTCTTCAACCATTGTTTTTACCCTAGCCAATACATAGTCCTTCAATTTGTGGTTATTTCTTTCCTTCTCTTGAAATATCTTATCATTCCTTTCTTCCCATAGTGCCCAAATCAAGGCTACTCTAGCACATCTCCACATTGATCTTCCTCTTTTTGTAGGCCAGGTGAAGGTAGACTGATCAAAGATCAACCATACTTTTTCTAGCAAGCTCTAATTACATGCTACACCCAAACAAAGAGAATAGCCACACCCACAATTCTATAGAGAGTGGACAAGAAATGAATAGATGGTCACAATCCTCCCCGTGAGCTCTACAGAGGGTACATCAGTTGGGAGAAATACAAAGGAAGGGTCTTCTCTTTTGTAGGTTATCTAAAGTGTTTACTTTCCCATAGTACACTTCCTAGTAGAAAGCCATGACCTTTGGGGCAATCGGCCTGAACCAAATTTCCTTTGAGGGAAGGACCTGTTGAGTGTAAGACTGAGACAAGGACTTAAAGAATGAGGCACAAGTAAACATCCCTTTGGGACTAGGGACCCACACCCTTTTGTCTGGTTTGGAAGGACACAAACAAATTTGATTAAGGAGGCCAAGCAAATGAGATAAAGAATCAATTTCAGCATCTCTTAACCCACAATGAAAACCAAAATCCCAATTTGGATCCAGGAGTGTTCCTGAGGGTGAGACGAATTTTGAAATTGCCTCTTTTTTAAAAATGAGATAGAGAACAGAAAAGGGAAAAGGTCCTTTAAAGGGGTATTTCTCACCCAAATATCTTCCCAAAACTGGACAGAAATACTAGAACAAGGCAACAAACTTCATACTTGACAAACCTGAGAAATTGAGGGATGAGTTTGTGGATGGCCTTCCACGGTGCTGCCAGATTAGCCCGCCTTGATACACCTGTGTCGCACCCATCCTCTGAGATGTCACGAATAATCCCTGCCACTTCATGCCAAAGTCTCTCTCTCTCTCTCCAATGGCCAACGCCAAATCCATTTCCCCAATAATGCTTTGTTTTTTCTAAACCACCCTCCCTAACCCCAAACCCTCTTCCTTTTTGCTTCTACACACAATTTCACACTTAATCAAATGATCCTTTTTTTCCTTGTCCTGGTTCCCAAAGGAAGTCTCTCATTAACTTCTCCAGCTTCTTTTTAGCACATATATTTGCTTGAATTTCTTCTTCTTCTTCTTCTTTTTTTTTTATACTTTATGTAGTGGAATTTAAGTTTTGGATGGTGCAAGAGCTTTCCTTTTGACCACGAAATGGTTTCCTGAAGATTGAGTTGATTCCGAATTGGTTGGATGTGATAGCATTCTTAACTTTAGTTGGAAGCCTCACTTCATTAAGTAGCTCAGGATGTGCATCTAGGAGTCATGGCTGCTTTAGCTTAGGTTGAAAAATGATGTATGTGGAGCCTGTTATTGCTCCATTCAAGTCTGATGAATTAAGTAGCTCTTAGGTTGTTGACCTATGACTAAGGAAGTCCTGTATAATTGCCATCATGATGCCTTAGTCTCTGCCCTCCTACAGGCATGGCTAGGCAGTTCCTGCATTGGTTAGGAGAAGTAACCCTTGACCAAAGTGAGAGGAAACATGACAAGTCACCATATGTAAAGAAAACAAAAGGATAACACTAATTTTTTTAAAAGACAACTACAAGTGATATTTTTGTCTTTGAAAAAGCAATGTATAGTATTCAAGTTTTCTTAAGAAAAACATCAACCTATGTACCTCAAGCCATTGTACACTGGGAATATTCACTAATCTGAGAGCCCATAATGCCAAAGTAAGTTTATAATGTGATGACTCAAGATATTTCCTAGCCAAGACATTCTAAAATCTAGAGGCTATATCAGAAAACCAGTGGCCTCAGAGCTTTAATTTAACTTAACAAAATTTATAGTCCATGTTATAATTATACTTGATGAAATGGTAAATCAATCTTCTGTTTTTAATTCCTGCCTTTGGCTTCCATCATTTATGGTTCAATTTGCTGCCATTCTCTTATACATTGTAGCCTTGTTTGGTTAAATTACTCCAAAAAAGTTATTTAATTTAATGTGGTTTTTGTGCAGGTGCTTTTGTGGCAAGGAGTTGTCAGGACAGGTATTTTTTTTTTCATAATTGTCAATACAATGTAGAAACCAACCATTATAAGCTTGTTTTACATCCTTAAGGTTATTGGTTGATCCCTAGTCTTTGATTAGAGAGCTTTAGTGCTCTGCTCAAACTGCAACTTCATTAATTTCCTTCTCTGATTAATAAACGATTCAGTTAATTTGGTACTTGGAAAACTTAGAAAGTTTGTTGAATCCTACCTTCAGAAGGCTATGACTAGAAACCAACCATTATAAGCTTGTTTTACGTCCTTAAGGTTATTGGTTGATCCCTAGTCTTTGATTAGAGAGCTTTAGTTCTCTGCTCAATCTGCAACTTCATTAATTTCCTTCTCTGATTAATAAATGATTTAGTTAATTTGGTACTTGGAAAACTTGGAAAGTTTGTTGAATCCTACCTTCAGAAGGCTATGACTATAAAAGGAATTAAGGAAGATTTGGTACTCTTGAGGGCCCTGGAAGATTGTTGGTTGGAGCAAGATAAGGAAGATCAGAAAATTTAGAAGATGTTCTGTTCACTTAATTTTTCTAACTTATAGGGGGGGGGTGGATTTGACATCTAGGTAAGTAGGTGAGTAGGATTTGGTGTAAACTAGTTCTTCACAGAGTGGAAAGATTGACATGTGTAGTTGTGCTTTAGCAGATTCTCATTGTTGATCAATTTAAGGAAAGAAACATTAGAATAACAAACATATTTAATGTTTGAGTGTGGAGAAGATAGAAAGTACCTATTCTTACATTATATTGGACTTCATATTTTTTCTGGATGGATTAGAGGATTCTATTATTGCTTCATGAGTTGATGTAATTATGAGAAAATGTTGAAACAACCCTTTTGAAGCTTTTGGGCACATCTTATGGAGGATCACTCCTTTTATGGTGTTTCAAAATAGAGCAAAGGAGGATATGGACATTTTCAACTTGTCCTTGAGGATTTGTGCAGATATTAGTGCATCCATTGTTGATTGGCTACGGTGCTTAAGGAGTTCAAGAGTAGGGAAAGAATCAATTTTGATAAGGATTAGGAGGAAATTGTGAAGTATTTAGTCATTTATTTTAATTTTTCATTTTTATATATGTAGTCACATAAATATGGATGATTTCATATCCTCTACTTATATGTAAAGTTCATTTATTTTTAATGACGGTTTCTATAATCAATAAAAAGAAGATCTTGATTTTTCATTATGTAAGTTGTGATTCAGTTAGCATTTCTGGAGAAGTATTTGTGGAGAAGAGAAAAAGAGGAAGAAAGAGAAATTCTGGGAAGAAAATATGAGGCACATGCCTCATCCAAGTTATTTTATTGAGAGAGACTTAATAGAACCTCATGGGCAATTACTATACTGCACTTTTATACTTAGATGCAACTAGAACTATAGTCTATAATATAGTATTAATAAATCACCATAGATTCTCAATCCTATGCAAACTTGCAAATAACACTCTCAAGTTGAGTTTTTCTGGCAACCTTGGTCAACACATCTGTCGATCGTTCATTTGTCTTACAAAGGGTGGGCATATCTTTGACATCTACTTTCTCTTGAATAAAGTGTTTGTCAGCCTTGATGTTCATAGTCTTGTTGTGATGGACAGGATTGGAAGCAATGCTGATTATAGCTTTATTATCATAGTATAGATTCTTTGAACCCATTACAGGACAACCAGACTCAAAGAGAATGGTATTCAATCATTATAGTTCATATGCACCAAGATCCATTGCTCCATACTTTTCTTCAGCACTTGATTTTGATACCACACATTGTTTTTAGTGATCTAAGTGATTAAGTTACCATTAAGAAATGAATATTACCCTGAAGGGTATCTTCTATCAACAACTAACCCAGACCCAGTTAACATCAGTATAAATCTCCACCTTCTTGTGACCATTATTACAAAATGAGAGCTCCTTTCTAGGGAATTCTTTCAAAGAACTGAATATATGGTTCATTGAATTAAGATAAGGGACTCGAGGATAGTGTATGGATTGGATAACTACTCTAATAGTAAAACAATGTCAAGTCTAGTAAGAGACAAGTAAATAAGCTTGTCCATCAACGTTTGAAACATCCTATATCTTCAAAGTTTCACCACAAACACCATCAAGCTTCAGATTAGGGTGCATTGGGGTGATAGTTGGCTCCAAACCTAGTTTCTCTATTTATCATAGAAGATCAAGAACATACTTCTGCTATGAAATAAATATTCCCTCCTTGGATCTTGCAACCTTGATTCTAAGAGGCCCCAAATCCTCAATTTCAAATTGCTTGGTCAATACAATTTTGGTGGCTGTATCTCCTTTGTTCTATCACTACTAACTACAATATCATCTACATACACAAGCAATATAATAGTAGACTTGTTCTTCCAAGATTGTATGATTTTCTTGGCTTCTAATGAACTTGATTTTCTGAAAACATTAGTGAACTTTTCAAACTAGGCTCTAGGAGGCTGCTTGATCCCATAAATAGCTTTCCTCAACTTGCACACCTTCACTTTGATACTAGGCAACTCAGCATCAGATGTGACAACCATATACAGTTCTTCCTTGAGTATTCTATGTAAGAATGCATTCTCCATGTCCATTTGATGAAGAGGCCAAGCTTAATTGGTTGCAAGGGAGAAAACTACTCAAATCGAACTCATCTTCCCTACTGGAGCAAACATCTCTTGGTAATAAATATCGTAAATTTGTGTGAACCCCTTGGCCACTAACCTTGCCTTATTATCTTTCAACTAACCCGTCTGGCTTGTGTTTGAATTTATTAATTTAACAGTAGAAATCCATTTGCAGAGTTGCAACCCACTGGTTTCTTTCCACCTAGAAGATCAACCAAGTCTCATGTGACGTGACATTCTTGTTTAAGGATTTTATTTCCTCATCAATTGCCATCTTATACTTAATTTGGTCAGTACTTGAATATTATTTGGAAGTTGGTACCTGAATGTTGGATGGTGAAGAGATAAGGGCCAGAAGGGAAGGAGATAAGGCATTGTGGGACTCACATTTTTCAATAGGATTAAGAGAAAAATACCTTTCTGAAAGGCTACAGAAAAATCAAGGCTAAAATAGGACATAGGGTTACTTGGATTACCTGAGTTTGAAGAGTCTAACTTATTGAGTGCATCAATAACTGATTTTTATCTTATCATATATTTTTGTAGCTCTACCTGCTTCCCAAAAGTGACATAAGTAATGGCTCAACTATAGGAATACGAACAAGAATAAGAAGAGTGCAGCTGAGGTCATTTCTTCCAAACCATTATTCCCTGAAGAAATGTCCTAGATGGAGAGAGGAACGGAATATTGGAATAGATTCCCAGAAAGTGACTTCTATAGAGACAAACTTTTTATTGGATAGAGGATCATAGACATGATATCCTTCTTGATTTGAAGAATAACCAAAGAAGACATTGGTCAAATAATTGGAATTTGGATTTGAAAATATGATGATTGTTGTTAGCTAAACTTGTCCATTCTGCCTAAGGATGCATTCCATTTTTCAGATGTATGGTCTATCTTAATTTTCAGTTGCTATTGGTTTTTGATCAATTGGTTTGACTTTTCATAGGCTATCAGCTTTATGAACTTTCTGGAGTTGTCCAGTTTGATAATCTCTGTACTTTTATTTTTTTCTATTTTTTACAGAAGCTTCCTGGTGCAAATTTTGAGCTCTCCCTTGTTGTATTTAATGCTCATGGATCTTGTAGTGGTATTTATCCTTCAATACCATTATCTCTGAATTTACTCTTCTTTTATGCAAGCATGTTACATCTTTATGTCAATACTGTTTTCCTTCTGATCATATACTAATGTTTTTTCTTTCAAAGACCATATTATTTAATTCCCACTGTAACATGTTTTCCTGTTTTTCCTTCTGAATGTGACCAGTGGTTGCCTACATAGGCAGTATTACTATTGCATTATTTTTTCTTTATGCATGTCAATACCGTTTTCCTTCTGATCATATACTAATGTTTTTTCTTTTAAAGACCATATTATTTAATTCCCACTGTAACATGTTTTCCTGTTTTTCCTTCTGAATGTGACCAGTGGTTGCCTACATAGGCAGTATTACTATTTCATTTTTTTTTTCTTTATGCTTTTCTGATGGTTAGGCTCAGTTTGGAAAGAGTACAAATACTAATATGTACCATGCAAATACATATAAAATAATACAAAATACAAGGTTTTACACTCTACATATTTGTATTTGTACTCTATTCAAACTGAGCCTTAAGAGCAATATCTATTGAGAAAAGAGCGAATGCTACAAAACGGGCTTTTCCAGATAAATCAGTAAAAAAAGAAAATTACATAGCAGTGAAGAACCTATCCCTAAGGCATTATCTCCACTCCCCAACACATTAGATCATTCAAATCCCTCTCTCTAGCTATGGTTTAACCAAATTGGGATCACTCAATCATGAAGTTTGACATGGATTAACATAACCAATCTTTCTACTTCTGTACCGGTGTGCCTAAAATGCCATGTCAAGCACCATCTGCTCATAACCAACCAATTGTATTACTTGTATCACCATCGATGATGATGTGAGGGACAGAAGTCTCTACATCGCTTGAGAGTTGATACCATGCAAATGAACAGAAGTTTCTGCTTGACTCGATTTACTATTTCAGATAGGGATTGAAAATAAATGAACTATTCTCTAATTGCTATCAATTTCCAATTTAGAAGTTATGGGGCTCAGTCTGGACACTAATCCGATTTTCTTGTTGGGTGATGGGTTAATCTATCCAATTGTCAAAGCTGAAATCCAGCAAATCCAGGATTGAAAATAAGTGAACTATTCTCTAATTGTAATTAATTTTGAATTTTAAAGTTATGGGGCTCAGCCTGGACACTAATATGCTTTTCTTGTTGGGCGATGGGTTAATCTATCCAATTGTCCAAGCTGAAATCCAGCAAATCCAGCTTTAACAAGATATAAGTGGGAAAAGATAAAGATATAGACATGTTTAAATGAACAATGCATGTATTATGTCAAAACAATGCAAATACCTTCCAAGACACCAGAAAAAACTTTAAATGACAAGAGGTAGTAAACTTAAGATGGGATAACATTGACCTTCAAAACAATGCATGTATTCCTAAATGAAGCAAGTTATTTATTCTGTTTCTCCACCACAGGATCGCTAAATTTCATGGCCTTTAGATTATCCCCAAGAGAAAGGCATAACCAAAATTCTGAAACAGCCTTTAGGTTTTATTCTTCTTGCATACGCCTCATCATAATTGGTTTGTTCCTTGTTATTGTCTTAAATGAGATTATATTTTTCTGGTATTAGGTTTCAATTGAATTTGATTTAATAGGGATTATGGAAGGATCTACTTTTGGGTACTTTGCATGTCCATTTGTAATTTTGAGGCATCTATATTGAGAAAGTTGCCTTGGGCATGGACTAGGGAGCTACAAAATGCATGGAGGTGATAAAAATTGTTGATGAAGACTTACACTTTTGGTGAATGACGATCATTATATAACCATTGCTTTCTTCATAAGAACAAGTTAATCCTATTTTTTTTGGATAATTGTATTAAGAAATCAGGAAAATGAGGGGCTGAGGCAACTCCAGTATATCTTAAACTCTTATTAGATAGAGGCCTGAAAGAAGATGGGGCACTCAAATCCTTCCCATGACAGAAAACGCCATAGAATGTTTTTGTTTCAAAATCCTCGTATTCCTCTCCTCCAGGGCACACCAACAAATGGCAAAACGTGCAAGATTCCAAAACTTTCTTGCTATACCCTCTAGCTAACCAGGAGTTAACTAGTGAAGAGAATGATTGAGGGATGAGGCATTGTCTTCCAGAATCAGCATGCCATCATAATCACAAAATTAAGGTTTTACTTACATTTTATATAAAGTAGAAAAGTTGTGAAGTAAATCATTGAATTCCTTTATATTGCTATTTCTTCAATTCATATGATCCGATCTTTAGGGGCCATTGCTTGGTGCAATAGTAAATCTTGGGCTGACAAGTATGAGAATGTAGGTTCAAGTCTTGGATTGGTCACTTTTTGCAAGAAAATGCAGGAGGTTTGGTCTGTATCCATTCCACCCCTTCCAAAACTCTGGCTAGACGAGATCTGCAATGAGGAGTGGCCCTGTGGTCCAATCCTCTAGATTTTTTCAAAGCTTGGACAGAATCTTAGTATAAAATTTGTACATGTGTCTTCTGTCATCTTTTTAATCTTCTTGCTTATGTATCTGATAGACACCGTGCACTGTAACCTGCTTTGATTTTTTTTTTCCATCTGATATTTTACCTGGATAATTTTTGAGGAATAAAGATAATTTTATTACTTCAAAAGATAATGGAGAACTCAGACAACAGCCTATGGAGAGGTGCAGGCTGCAACTTCTCTCAACTGATTATAAAGAAACTTAAAAGGAAAAGACAAGCATTACAGATGAGCCCAAAACAAGACTTCCCTATTTGCCCCTTACTTAGCTAAGCCATCAGCCAAAGCATTTGCTGATCTCCCCACCCAATGTGTATTAACAGACATATTCCTTGTCAGTCAAACTTTTTTACCTAGATAATTTGAAGCCAGTTTTTTCCCTCCCTTTCTTTTCTTTGTGCAGCTTGCTTAGTGCAACGAAGTGGCTGGACAAAAAATATGGATACTTTTTTACAGTGGCTCTCAGCCATACCTTTTACTGGAGGTGGTTTTTGCGAAGCTGCAATAGGGGAAGGGCTTTCTGAAGCTCTAATGGTAGGGGCTATTTCTTTTTCTACATCACTCATACTTTTTTATGCTGTTTGTTCTAATTATGTATCATACATTCTTGATGTTTTTAAATTATTATTCTTTCTCCAAAAATAGTAAGCTAAAAAAGAAAGTTTTAATAGAGCAGCAATTATGAAGTCATGCTCACTTGATGTTCCCCTCATTTATATAGTGGTTTATTACTTTTCTTCTGATAAGATAAAATCCTATACTGAATATAATAAGCAGGAGATCACCAAGCTGTAGAAAGATATCAATTATATTAGCTTGACTTGTATAAAATGGTAGACATCATGGTGGGACAGGATTCATGTAGCTGACCCCATCTATTTGGATAAGGTTTTTTGAGTTCAACATATGAAATGGTAGACCAACCATCATATGAAAAAAGAAAAGGAAAAGACAATGTTCAGACCACTGGGTTTCTTGAAAAGTTGCTATGCCAGTTTTTGTCTCTTTATCTCATAAAAATTTTCTTTAATGAGAGAACCCAGTTTTAACAATGATGTCAGGATATTATACTGCTTCTAATTTTTCCTTGTAAATCCCTGGAGGTTCATTACAGACATAATTCTTCGTTTCAGTCTATGGATATCATATGAATTTGTTGCTTATGCATGAATTGGTGTTGATTCTGTGGCACACTGACACTTTAACTAGCTTCTGCTTTTTAACTTATGCATATGTTTTGTAATTTATAATGCAAGTCAAGATCTGTAGAAAAGATCTAAGTGAAGATTAGGTGATGGAAAATGGACTAAATAAGAGGAAGAAATGTTGCCCAATGGTACTGAATGAAATCACGATTTCTAGTCCTCTTTGCTATCCTTGGGAATTCTTATGCTTTTTGAGCTATAGGGGTAGTTTCTATTTTTTTATAATGTTTCTTTGTAGTCTTTTCCTTTATGTCAAGTAGAAATTATAAAGTTAATTTTTTTAGCCTTTTAGGAGAAAGTAAAGAGCCTGAAATTTACTTAGTAACTTGATTTTTTGAGCTCTATAGTTGCTTCTGTCTCTGTCTTTCACTTGTATATCTTCCTAATTAGAGTTTTAGTAGGAAATGTGAGTTACTAGAAAATATTTGTTGAGTGTAAGTTAATTACTATATTTTTGTACTTGTAATAATGATCAGAATTTAAGATGTTAAACATAGAGTTTCTGATGTCCTGGCATCTAGCTGCGTTAACATATAAGTGGGTTTCTACCAAAAAAAAATCTATTAGTGGGTTGCTAACAGGCAATGCTGCTGCACTTTGAACACACTAAAAAGGCAAAGTGAGGCCCACAAAAAAGGTAGGTTAACTGTTCTCTTTTAGGCCCGAATCGTTTACTGGAAAATAAGCTTGGGAAAGTTGGTCGATGGGTATCTTTTTCCCATTGACCAACTTTACAATGTTCTTTTTGCATTTACTAATGGGCCCCACGGTAAAATAAGCTCCACTTCCCCAGGTAAAACTTACCCATCTCCCAGGTGGGTAAGTAACTTTCCCACCTGGGGGGAAATTTTATAAAGCATAATGAACTTTGCCCATTTTTATATTATCTCTTTATGGGTAAAGATGCCATTCTGTTACTTACCTGGGAATCCTGGAAATCAAAAGAACATGGGTAGACATTTACCTGGGTAAGTGCACTTACCTGGGTAAGTTACAAAGCTGCAAACAAACGAGGCCTTAGTGTCCCTTAGCATGCTATAAGTGGCAACATCACTGCCTGTTAGCATTGCTCAGCCTGCAAGTATGGACCTATTACCTATATTGTAGTGAAAATATTAAGACAAGTTATATTGATGAATAAGACTGTAAAACCTTCATAATTATCAAAAAAAAAAAGACCGTAAAACCTTCATGCTTTAGTGCATAAGGATGATTATTAGCATGGCGATATAGGCTATCTTGGCACCATATAGCCCCTGTTTAAGATACGTGCAACATTGATTCTTGGTCAAGTAGAGGTTAGATCCCTTAGTTATCTTAGTTTTTGGGTTTTCTTTCTAATTTCTGCACTTGAAGCCCTAATTTCAGTTATGGTACTTGGATGCTTCATTTTGCAATGAAGTAGCAATATTTAGTTATTTATAAAACATGATATGTTTGCATGGGATATGTATTGGAGCCACCTATTTGGTTTTGCTTATTTATTTTATTTGGAATTTGAGTTAAATGGATTGGGTATGTACCCATTCACTTGGATGCTTACCCAACATTTAAGTATTAACTGATATTGCTAAAAGGTGCCATTGGAAGTTGAAACGAATGTATGCTATACGTTGTTTGTGTGTGCTGCAAAGCTCGTTGCATTATTTTGCTGCGGATGTCCTTTTTATTGCTGATTGAGGACTTAATTTAAAAATACTAAATGGTGCAGGAGGTTGAGAAACAAGTTTGACTTTTGCAGTGACTGAGAAGATGCTGAAATGCATGAAACTCTTATTTTTTTTTGTCAAACTTGTTCTTATTTAATCTTTTTAGAGTTTCTTTTATGGATTTTCTTTTTGTGGACATTTTTTTTTTTCATTTTGCATATGGTAAAGATTAATTTCAGTGGTATCATTCAGATGTTCTGTGTGGCTCCAAATGGGAGCCAAACTCAGCAAAATGTGGATGGGCAAAAGCATTGTATTCTTGTAGCTGCCAGTAATCCCTACCCCCTGCCCACGCCAGTGTATCGTCCACCGAACCAAAATTTAGAGAAGAATGAAAGCATGGAAGGGCAAACAGAAAGTTGTCTATCAGATGCTGAGACGGTTGCCAAATCATTTGCTCAGGTTATGCAACCGCAAAGTTTATTATTATTATTTTGTTATTTTGTGCTTCCTGATCATGTTTATGCTGAAGATTCATTTATGGATATCTTCCCAGTGTTTCTTACTGTACTTCTGCATGCAGTGCTTTGTTTCTCTATCAGTCATTTCACCAAAGCAGCTCCCAAAACTTAAAGCAATATATAATGCGGTATGGATTTTAGTTATAGTTGAATTCATTTCTATTTGCAAACTTCTGTATCAAGCTTGTTAAGGCCTTTTCCTAGATTTGTTCAATGGAACCTGTCCCTTAGTCTGTGCACTAATCATCTTATTTATATTGAAACTTGTATGGTCAGTTTTCTCAATTCAATATACTTTGCATATAGGTAGTGAAAACTAATTCAATTGTCTGAATTATTTTCCAAATGAATTCTAATTAAAGAGAACTGTTTCTTACAACTAGAAATGCTATGTCATATGAATAAAGATGTGGTTTACTGTCTTGGAACCAAAGTTTGTTGATTTAGTTATGCATCTAGCACTCTCTTTTTCTTGCATTTGGATATTGGTAGAACTACAAAGTTTCAATCATGAATTAGCCTCCTCAAAATGTGGATATAAGTAAGCCATTTAAGCCAGTAAGTAATACATGGTTATATCCATATCCATTTAATTGCACGAAACATTTTCAAGGAAAAGTATTGCAACATAATCCTGTGCGTATGTATTTATGTGGTTAGTCACATACTCACATGTTTCTTCTATGAGCAACAAATGCAATAAAACTTGCACAAAAATCATTTTTGCAATTGGAGAAAATGTCTCCTCATAATCACTACCATAAGTTTGTGTATTACCCCTTGGCAACTAGTCACACCTTTTATCTATCTATACTGCTATCTGCTTTGCATTTAATTTAATGGTGAAGATCCCCATTTACAACCCCCCTCAAAAAAAAAAAAGAAAAAAAAACAGAAGAAATAGATGCAAGGAAAGACTAATATGAAAGGGACGAATTATCATACGCAATATGATGGTAAATACTATGGCTATAGAGGAGTGGCACTTACCCTTTCTCAATGCAATGGGAAGATCAAGATCTAAATAGGAGACTAAGATGGATGAGGTTCATCAGTGGTGACTTGGAGTGGTGATGTGGACAGAAGTGAAAGATATATGCAGCACTTCAAGTTTACAGAAATAATCATAACAATGAAACTCTGAAAACAACAAAAAGGAAGTTGGATTCTTAGGGATTTCAGATTTGAACCTGAAGTAGAACTCCTAGAACAGTTATGCTACAGTAATAATGGTGTCAAGCTGGCTTCTCGTGCAAACACATGACAGTAGAGGGATTGGAAGCCACCAAATGGGTTGACTCCTCAAAACCCAAGCTCCTAATACTTGAAAACCCTAGTTGGGGCTGAGCTACAACTCAAATAAGAGAGGAAGAACCAAAAATACCCCCACAAAAACAACCCCCTTCTCTTTTATAAGACTCAATGGCTTACTGGAGAAGGCAAGCTCCTAATACTTGAAAACCCTAGTTGGGGCTGAGCTACAACTCAAATAAGAGAGGAAGAACCAAAAATACCCCCACAGAAACAACCCCCTTCTCTTTTATAAGACTCAATGGCTTACTGGAGAAGGCAAGCTCCTAATACTTGAAAACCCTAGTTGGGGCTGAGCTACAACTCAAATAAGAGAAGAAGAACCAAAAATACCCCCACAGAAACAACCCCCTTCTCTTTTATAAGACTCAATGGCTTACTGGAGAAGGCAATTAAAATATTTACACATAAGCCCCTAGAATGTTCCCCCTTCACAAGCAACACCTTAAGAACAAAACTAACTTCAAACAACCACAAAATATAACTTTTGTTATAAAAACACCCAAGAGACCAAAACCCAACAGATGTGCACCCTGTTGCCCCCCTGACCAGAATCTGAAATATAAAAAATGATGAAAATACCCTTAGAACCAAACTGATAACAAAGCTTCCCAAGACAACTACTTGGGGTTCCAACTACAAAAACAAACTCAAAACATATTTACATTGTTATTTTCTCTTTCTTTTTTTTTTCTCCTTTTTCTGGTCTCATCAGGTGGTGTTCTTCTTCCCCCTTTGGTACAGCTATAACTCCTTTCTTGGGTTACCATAAGTCATAATTGTGATCAGATGAAAGAGAAGTCTCCATTAACTAGTACAACCTTTGGAACAAGAACAGGAAGAAGGAAAGCAACCAATATCAACACCTTCACTTCCACCTTTCTTCCCTTGAGATGTAATCCCAAAGTATGAAGGGAAATAATAAATGTGACATCCTTAGAAGCAAAGGTCCTCCTTGACATTGGATCATAAAAGTATCCTCCTTTTTGATCATATGCATATCCAGTGGTGGTGGCTGTATTTTGTGAGATAATCATGGGACCTTCTTGGGAGATAAAGCTTCTTTTTACAGGGCTGCCAGTAATATATTTGTGGATGCAATGGCCCTGAAGGATGGTATTCTTTTATCTAAAACTTTGGGTCTCTCTCATATTCACATCTTTATGGGTTCTAAAGTCTTAATGGACTTTGTTCAAAAGAATTCTTATCCTACTCATGAACTATGTCACTGGTGGAGCGAGATTGATGACTTAAGAAGTGACATAAATATGGAGACAAGTCAAACCCTGCATGAAGGAAACGAGTCAGAAGATTTCTTAGCTTGCCTTAGTTGTGATAGGCACACGATCATCTATGATTCCACATTTCCACCTAGGCTTCCTAATGGTTGGCTACATGAATCCTATTTTGCCAGTCCGTTCTGTTTAATGTCATTTCCACCGTTAAATTATTGGTGCTTAAATCATTTTTTTTATGGGTGCTTTTGATGGTCTTTGTTGGAATGCTAACTTTATTTATTATGTTTGTATTCTGCTGAGTTAGGGTTTGTTTGGACAAATTAAGGCAGTTTTTTCTTTTGTTTTTTATGCTGTAACTTAAGTAGGGGCATAAGGGTCCTTTCCCTTCTAATTATGGTTGCCCTATATATATTAATATAAGCTGGCGCCGCCAGCACTGTAGCAGACTCCAAATCTCTCTCTTCTCTTCTCTCCTCTCCTCTCTTCCTCTTCTCTTCTCCTACCTCTCTTGATCTCTTCTCCTTGTTTGGCTGTTAATATGGTATCAGAGTGGTTCTGCTAGGCATGTGAGCAGATCGACAAGCTTCAACCTGCTGTCTTCTTCAACTGAGATAAAAAAAGTGCAGATCTATGACTGGTAGATTTTTTTTAGTGTTTTTTTCCTTTTCCTTGGTCATGTACCAAGAAGAAACTATATGACTCCAGACTGCTGAATGTATTCTGAGAAGTTGTGAGGTTTGAACCTCTTTTTTTTTTATGGATCGTGTGATCCCATGTCTGAGAATTCAGATCTGTAGGTCGTGGATGACCTGATCTTTTAACCCTTGTGGTGTTACCATACTGGTTTATGACCCCTCCTAGCAGTCGATGTGTTTGGGGTGTTTGGAAGCTGGTGGAGTGTGACTGTTAGGTCAGATTAGCTCTGAGATCACCCTAAAATCTTGCATTTTTTGGTCAATCTAGGCTGGTTTGTGGTTAGATTGTGTCYAGATTGCAGTGTGTGCATGTGGACTTCATCCTTGGTGTTTCTAGGACTGTTTGTTTGGTGATAGGAGGGATCATAAAATGTGTGTAAGGTCTGAAAGGTGTTTGAATCATGTCCTCTGAGAATTCTGCAACTTCAAGAATTTCAGGAGGTCAAAATGGAATGAGTGGGGGGATGGATATGAGTTTCCCCATGGCTGTAATCCCCTTTGATGGACTGAACTATCTTGAATGGTCTAGGGGAATTAAACTTTATACTACTGCTAGAGGAAAAATTGGGTATATTAATGGTAAAATCAAGGAACCAAAGACTGGTAGTGCTGAACATGATAGATGGGACCAAGAAAATAGCATGGTGATGTCATGGCTGAAATAGCTTGTGAAACATGGGAACAAGCAAAATCTACCTATTCAGAACAGAGGCACTATGCAAAGATATATCAATTACAAGCAGAATCTTCCACTTGCAAGCAAGGGGAGAAGAGTCTCTCAGTATATTATTCAAACTTGACATCAATTTGGAAGGAATTGGATCATTATCAAAATGTGAATTGGAAGTGCGATGAGGATGCAAGGGCCTACAAATCACTTGTTTACCAGCAACGGGTATTTGTCTTTCTTTTGGGGCTGAATCCTATATATGAATCCATGAGGGTACAAATCTTAGGAAGTAAGAACCTACCTTTAGTCCAAGAAGTTTATGCCCTAGTTTAGTCTGAAGAGAGTAGAAGAAGTGTGATGAATTGTACAGAAGGGGAACCGATTGCACTAGTTGTCTGAGGGGGTACAAGTTCAAATGTTGGAGGTTCTTTTAAAAAGGGAGGTTCACAGAAGAGAGTGGATGACAAAGACAAACTTTGGTGCACTCATTGTCAAAAGTCCAGGCACACTAGAGACACATGTTGGGATCTTCATGGCAAACCGAAATGGGCTCGGGAATTGAGTAAGAAGTCTGATCCAATTAAGAAGCCAACCCAGCAGAGTCAGAAGAAATATAACTCAGCAAATGTGCATCGCAAGAGACTAGTCCCATGGTGCCCCAAGAGCAACACTCTGGTTCTGACCCCAAGGAAGAGATCATCAACTCCTTTTGTGACCACTTGGAATTATATGGTAGGTCACTTCGCCAGATGGATTCTGGCCCTACTCCTTCTACCTCCTTTGCGTCTACATCAGGTAACAACTGCCACTGCCTTCCATGTGTCATCTCATACATCTGATTCCCCTTGGATAATTGACTCTGGAGCCTCAAACCACATGACTGGTAAGTCAAATTTATTTCAGACATATAACCTCTTCTCTGGGAGAGGTAAGGTGAGACTAGCTGATGGGTCTTATTCCACCATAACCGGTCAAGGAATCATCTCCCTTCCTCATGGTCTTACCCTCTCTAATGTGTTGCATGTTCCTAAATTACCTATCAATTTACTTTCCATTAGCAGTATTACTCATTCCTTGAATTGTTCAGTGACCTTCTTTCCTTTTTCGTGTGTATTTCAGGATTTGACCTCGGGGAAGACGATTGGTAGAGG